GTATTTTATTATAACTGTTTTTGTATCTTCTCTCATTCGCAAGTCTTGACCTTACTGGTATTTAAGTTTTCTGAAAGGGTTTTCCAGTCTTCCTGTATGTTGGAATTTTCAACCCTTTGGCAGGTGTGTTTTATTACTGCCTCTGGGCATTTGGATTGATGTGCCCACATGTGTAGAAAGTAGCACAAATTTTGTATCTCTCCCTAGGAGTTTTCCTAGGTAGATTCATATTTTAGGAGTGATTGGCATTTTAGTTTTAATGGTACAATGAGAGATATAGTAATTCTATTCTTTTTCCTTTCCTTCCTCCTCCTGCTCTTCCTTCTCTTCTCACTTATTTCAAACTGTTGAGACTATTAGTGGCTTTGAAATAGCCTCTTGCATTATCCATGGGAGTTTTCAGACAGGGACCCCCCCCCCGCCCCCGGGACAGATGCTAGGATGAGGCCTCTGAAGCTGATATTTCCTCATTGCTTTGCATCATTTATTTCAAAACACCAAACAGAACCCTAATTAGATCATTAAAAAAAAGGTATAGTAGGGCTTGAACAAATGAAAATCAGAAAGCAAAATATAGTTTAGAGAAAAAGGAATGGTTTATGAGCAGATATTTGATAACGGTAGCAGGAGGATGATTTTATTCAGGGCCCTATTTTAAAGATGGCAAACATCCCCCTTCCCCCCGCCCCTCTTGTCCCTAGCACGCCTTTATGGTTTGTATCATAGAATGTAAGCTCTGAGAGAGCAGGAGTATGTCTGCCTTGTTCATCTCCTCGGTGCCTTGCGTGGTGCCTAGTACTGATAAGTGTTAATATATATTTTAAAGATATATGACTATAGTCATAATGTGAGCCTCCATGTATGGAATGCTTACTCCGTGACAGGCACTATGCCGGACGCTTCACACACAGGTTAAAATAATTACCTCGGAGGTAAATAGTTTTCATCCCACTTTTGACTGGTATTTAAAACCTAGAGAAAGTAACTGACCTTTTTCAAAACACTAGTGTGTAGGGCTTCCAGCTTCCTCTTTTTCCTTTGCTGGCTTCTTTCCCTAATCTCATCCTCTATGGAGAAACAGATAAAATCCAAGCTCACGGATTCTTGCAAGAAAAAGAGGACAGGAATCTATAATCCTCAGGTTGTTGTGCATAAGGGTGGTGGTGGGAGGTAGGGGGGGCGGCGCAGGACCACGCAGGCTTGGCGGAGAGGGGAGTTGAGGGAGCAGCGTGGCCGGGGCAGAGTGGATGCCCTCTTGCAGACATGTCATGGTGTCATGCACAAGATGCACTGTGCTTATAAACATGCTAATGATCAAGTTCAGGACATTGAAAAAAAATTCAACATCCTAAAAATTTGCCCAATAAGCCCAAAGGCATGGGCCAAAATATTGCTCAAGAGGTCCTAGAGTCTTATAAAGAGCTCTAAGCTAGATGCCAAAGTTTTCATGATAAGACTCAAGGTGAAACCTACAATGAGTATGCAGGATCATCTAAAAATTACCACACTATCACAATTAGTTAGAATTAAGTGTCTTTCTTCCCATGATCAGTGCTATCTAGCAAATTTTTTTTTTCTTGAGTGCTCTAAGATCAGGGGAGAATCTTACCTGAAAGGGCAGAAATGATGATCAGCCTGGCCCAGTGGAGCGCATACCAGCATGCCTGGGTCGGAGGGACGGGGAGAATATGAGAGAAGGTATCAGAGCAGTTATGGGGAGCCAGCTCATGTCAGGCCTTACAAGCTGCTTCTGGGGCTGTGGTGTTTGCTCTAGGTGACAGGGAAGCCAATGGAGGGTCTTGGGCAGAGGAGTGACATGAGAGATGACTAATGCTAATGCTTTCAAAGGAGCCCCCTGCTTGCTATGTTGAGAGTTCAAGGGTGGAGATAGGGAGACTGGTTACCAGGGCGATTGCAGTAATTTAAAAGATGGTGAGGTCTTGGAACATAGTGGAAGTGATGTGGAGGGTGCAGCTGGTGAGATATGGTGGCACTCTGGATATTTTCTTAGAGGGGGGCCCTATAGGATTTGCTGTGAATTTGATTGGGAGCATGAGAGAAGAAGAGAAGTCAAGGAGGGTTCTAGTTTTGGGCCTAAAATAGGGAAAGACTTATGGGAGAAGCTGGTTTAGGGGGGAAAGACTAGGAAATCACTTGGGGACCTGTTAAGTTTTGAGATGCCTATTGAATGCACAGTGCAGTAGATTGATCATTTGATAGACGAGTCTGGACTTCAAGGGAGTTGGGACCAGAGATATGAATTTGGGAGCCACTAGCATATGAGTGATATTTAAAGCCAAGAAACGAAATGAGATTATCAAGGGGGTGAGTATAAATTAAGAAGGAAAGAGAGGCAGCCTAAGATTAGAACCCTGAGGTTTTTCAATATTAAGAGATTGGGTTGATGAGGACAGATTAGCAAAGGGGACTGAGGAGTGGCCAGTGAAGTTGGAAAAGGACCTGTAAGCCAAGTGAAGGATGTATTTCAGAGGATGGAATTACTAATTGAGTCCAGTGCTGCTGAAAATTGAAGTATTCTAAAAGCTGAACATCACATTTAGCCACATATAGATCCTGGGGTGGAATCATGGGAAGGGGCAGGGGGAATGTGACTTAAGTGGGTTCAAGAGAAAGTGAGAAGCAATGAATACAGGACTTTTTGATGAGTTTTTTTGTAAAATGGAGCAGAGAAATAAGATGGTACCTTGAGGGGAAAGTAGAGTGAAGAGAAAGGCTTTTTATTTATTTTTTAATTATTTTTTTCTTTTTCTTTTCTTTTTTAGAAGAAATTTAAATATAGTCACCATGCTGAACATTACAGCCCCAGGGCTTATTTATCTTATAACTGGACGTTTTACCCCTTGACCTTCTTCGCCCATTTTGCCCATCCCACCTCACCTCTGGCAACTACCAATCTATCCTAGGTATTGCATCTATGCATTCAGTTTATTTAGATTCCACCTGTGCGGTCACGCAGTAATTGTCTTTCTTTGTCTGACTTATTTCACTTAGCATAATGCCCTCAAAGTCCATCCATGTGGTCACAAATGGCAGGATTTCCTTCTTTTTTATTTCATTCTATATACACACCACATTTTCTTTCTCTAGTCATTCGTCAGTGGACACTTCAGTTGTTTCTCTGACTTGCCTTTTGTAAATAATGCTGCAATGCACGTAAAATTTTTAAATTTTTTAAGATAGGGAATAAACAGTAAAATGTGCTGCTGGGAAAGGTTCAGTAAGAAGGAAACAGTTGTTGATTCGGAGAGAGAACTGCTGGTGTGATGCTCTTGAGGTGTGGAGAGGCGTGGGCCCTGGGGGCTGGGTGGGTGTGCTGGTGGGGGCTTGTGGGAAAGCCCTTTAGATTGCTTCCATTTTTTTCAAGTGAGATAAAAAGCAAGGTCACTGGCCTTGAAAGGATGGGGAATAGAGAATTCCCACCCCCTTTCTTTTTTTCCCCACATAGCCAATTAACCACTCTTCTATTGCTTCAACAATGGAAACTTCCCTACCTTAGGTTCAAATGACACAATGTTGTCGTCTCTCAGACACCACCTCCTTCTTTAAGAGTCTGCTTTGCACGGCAGCTGTTGGCTGGGCGCCACTTCCTTTGTGTCGGGACCCTGCTCACAACCCTTGCTCAGCAGCCCATGAAAGAGGGTGAAGACCACTTGCTCAGCAAGGGCTTCAGCCCCTGGCAAACGAACCCTTCTTCGTTCCACAGGACCAGCCATGTCACCTCACTGTGCCCAAATCGCCACCCTCACTGCCGCTGCCGTACTTCTTGCACAAACTAGTTCTGTAACAGGAGGAAGCTACTAGACTTCTCTATGCCTTCTTTTCCTCGTCTGCAAAATGAGGATATAATTGGTACCTGCCTCTTACAGTTGCTTCTAGGGTTCAGCGGACTAATTTATTTGGAATAGTCCCTGAGATAGTGGCAGAGCTCAGTCAAGTTCAGTTCTTCTTCTTCTGATAATCTAAAACCCCTTGTCTTTTTCTTCCTAATCAAATCTTTCCTATCCTTTAAGTCACAGCTGGCCTACCATCTCTCCCAGGAGGTCTTTCTAGCTCAACCTTTCCTCCCTTTTCTGATCTCTATCTTTTCTTCCTGTTAGCATTAAGCAGACACTGCACTAGCGACTTGAATACACCGGTGACAGAATGCTGCATTTCTCCTGCTAGACTGTGAACTCAGGAGGGCAAAGGTCTTGCCTCTTAACCTCTTGTAGCTCCATTCCCTAAAAGTTGCTGTATTATCAAGACCTCAGATTTCACATGGGGTATTCAACCCGCTCAACTTGTTGAAGAAGGAAATTCCTTTGTTACTCCATCTGGAGCCTGTATTTCTTGTTTTTGTCTGCCTGCTTCATGCTGGGAGCTGCAGATCTGCAGCCTGATTCTTGCATGGTCACTTGGTCTCCAGAGACCTTGCAGCAACTCTCTCCTTCAGCCATTTGTTCAGGACTGTTTGTTAGTTTCATACCCACTTATGGTGCCATCTTTCTTTCCTCTGCATCCTCCAATATTAGAAACCATCTTTTCTTAAGAGAGGTGTTGCCCATCTTCAAGCTTTTTTTGTTTCCTCCTTTCTTCTCTTTCCCAAGGCACCCCTGCTTTGAAGAGGCTGCTGAAAAGGAGGAAGCTATTTTATCTTTTATGTTCAGCAAGAATAAAGTAGGAGGCTTCATAAGGAAAATTGGCAAGGTCTAAAGTTTTTATTTTCTTTGCATTTCATAAGAACCAAAAGTTTTATAAGTTTTCACTTTTTTTTTTTAAAAAAAAGAACTTCCAAATATACCAAAAAAAAAAAAAAAAAAAAGAAAGAAAAAGAAAAAAAAGAAAAAGATCTGAATGTTGAAATACCCTGCTACATACCTTGGGGTTTTGAATTTAGCAGCTTTAGTTTGGGAACAAGAAACTCTGGTTCAGAGTTTTTTGCTACTACTTGGCTTGCTGCAGCATTTCATCCCCAGCCTTACTCTTCTTTTGCATTTCAGAATACAGCCGTGCCAAAGAGCTCCTCTGTGTGCCCGTGGATGTAACAGATACTTTGAGATGTTTTAGAGAGACTTTGGAAAAATCCAAATATCATAACAGAGCAATCCGACACAGCAGGAAGTTGCTTTCATTATTTCTTGCACAGACACAAGGTACAAAACAATATGTGCTCTGTACGCCTTAGCCCTTATTTAGGTGGGGGTGCCACCCTGCGCACCTGCCATCGCCAGCCAGAGGCGCCTCCTTTCCCCACTGACGCCACTCACTGCTGCCTTTCGCTTTCTTCCTGCCTTGAGGGTCGCGTCATCACGCTCTCTCACTGTGTTCCAACCAAGCACCGTCTCACTCATTTGCTTCTACGCCTTCTGGGAAACTGCCATACTCCCTGTGTAAAGTGAATACAAATACAATATTTGTTAATTTTTTGACTCTATACATCTATGTTCTTACTGTTTTCTTTGCAAGTATGGTGCTAGTCTTGTTTAATTTTCCTAAGTAGATGAATCGATTCATACTGAATTAACTAGAACCTTTTACCAAAACACTACTTCATCAATGTCAAAGAAATGGATGTGTTTTATTATTAGCACCAATAAGATTTTCTTGTTAATGACATAGATTTTTATCTTAAGAGTTTTGGGGTTTTTTTTAGCCTGAAACAAGGTGTTTATTCACTATCATTGGTTACATTACGTTTTTGTGTTTCTCCCTCCTCAGCATCTATCGACCTGTGAACACAATGAGAGCAGGGCTTTGAGTGATTAAGTGGTAACCTCAAGGAAGAATATAGTCAAGTATATCTATATTTAGGTTATTTAAAATTTTTTTAAATCCTAATTTATGTTTATGATTCTTGCTGTTCAAATTTATCAGCATAATAAAAAATAAAGAGCAAACTTAAAATATTCAATAATTTTATTTTAAAGTTAATAAAAATAGATTGAAACTTAGCCTAAGATGCTAATATCCACTGAACTGATCTTTTAGAAATCTAATCAATTCTTTTTTACAAGCACTGACCAAAGTTTTATTTATGTTTCTAGATACGTATATATATGTATGCATGTTTTTGTTGTTGCTGCCCCTTGCAAAAACTTATGATAAGCACCCATAGGTTTTGGTTGTATGGTCCACAGACTCACCTTACGTTAAATGAGCTCTCCATACCATGTTTAAAGTTCTTTCACTCATGGCATACACTGACCGTGGTTAAGGGCTGGAATGAGGAAAGGAAATAAGGTCCCTGAGAGTGGTTTACATCAACTAACTCTGAATCTCCCCTGGTACCAAAATATTCTTTGAAATATGAATCAAATATTCATTTGAAATATGGTGCTGGAGGAGAGCTCTATGGATACCCTGGACCACCAGGAAGACAAAAAGAGCGTCCTAAAGTAAATTAAATCCAAAACATTGCTGGACGTACCAAAAAAAAAAAAAAAAAAAAACCAAAACAAAGGTGTTCTGCTTTGAGCACATATGAGCAGGCAGGGTTCACTGGAAAAGGCAACAATGCTGGAAAAAATAGACAGAAGGAAAAGAGGAGACCAAATAGGAGACTAATTGACTCCCTAAAAGACGCCACAGGCATGCGAAGCTGGGCCACTGAGGACAGGACACTGTGGGCATCATTCATGCACAGGGTCACCAGGAGTTAAGCACCTCAACAGCGTGTAACATGCGCCCCAGAATATTCCCAGCAGTTTATCCCTGTCCTCCTCTCTCTCTGTTGGCTACTCCCCACTAGAATATTTTCCCTTTTTTTCCTTGTATGCTCTCTGATCTTAAAAAGAGACAGCACTTTCCCATTTTTGCCCCCTCAGGTCAGAACTACCTACACGTGGGGCAGAGCTGTCTGCCCCAGAGGCAAACTAACATCTTCCTGTTGGAAGCTCTTTAAAAAGGGCAAAGCAAGTGGTGTAACTTCCACTAAACCCCAGGGGATGCAAAGCATTATCTCAGACATTCACATTTCAGGGGACTGAGTACTGGAGCCCATCCACACACACCTGGGCTCCTCAGAAATGATTCTAGGTAGTAAGTTTAAAGAAACACAACTGCAAGTATATCTCAGCTACACATAAAATATTTCCTTTCTTTTCACTTTCCATTTCTACTACCTTTTTCTTCACCATCAATTTCCCTTCTTTTTTCCATTTTAATTAAAAACAAATTATTTTTCATGACTAGGAGCCAAAGGAGGAATAAACACTTCAAAATTGACTCCTGGAAAGGTGGAGTTTTCCCTGGGGATAGAAGAGATGCACATGCCGGCGCCCCCTGACCTCTCTCAGGAGCACTTCAGAGTTTTTAGTTCGGTGGAGAAAAGCAAACTTCCCTATTCACAACTTGGACTCGTAATTTCTTCATTTTACAAAACTATTGGTAAGACTTATTCATTATGTATTTATTTTCAGTACGATCACCTGCATTACGGTTGGAGATTGCATTTGGTCCTGAAATGCTATTTTTAAAAATAGGAAGAAAGAGCCTGAAATAGAATCTATTTGTTATGCCCGACAGAGAAGTGTTGAGGCAAGAGGCTCCCAGCGCCGCCCCTTCCCCACTTCCCTCAGCCTGGCTGCCACCTGCGGGCCCCCAGGCCACCCTCGCCCAGCCCCCTTAACTGCCTGCCGGGATGTGGCCACTGCGCAGTGCTTTGCTCTGCCCCAGCTGATTTCATTTTCTTTGTCCCTCTACTTGATCTGGCCTTTACACACTCAGCAGCATATACTCAACCCATGCTGTGGACCCACCATCTCCCTTTTTTAGAGCAGACCTTTTGTAAATCCCCCTTTTCTCTCTGAAATGTAATTTATATTTAATATATTCTTTCTACATGTATTGTCTCACCCGCCCCCCCCCCAATCAATGTGAAGCTATAAACAAAATACAGGATAAATCAAGTCACTTCGTTAGAAAAGACTCTGTTGTTGGCATGTATGGCTCAAGCAGCAGAAGGCCAGTGAAGCAGTGGCGCTGTGTGTAGGAGCACCACGAATGTCGCAGCTGTGGATGCAGAGCGGCTCCTTTCTAGTACTGGTGACACAGAGCATCAGCACTGTTAATTTTGGTGACATAATTTTCTAAAATAGCAAGTAAATGTAGGTACAGTCCTGAACAACAACAAAAAAGGATGGTTGCACTTCTGGCAAATTCAGAACATTTTGGTAACTTGGAAATATACCCTTTTTATGTGTAAAATGAGGTTAGATGTTAGACTCAGCTCATTGTAAATAGGTTTCTCACCTTTTTCTTCACTGTGGGGAAAGGTTCTGTGCGTCCCAGACCATCCTGTGTTTCTGGTCTTCACCTTTCAAATACCGGGTGCCCCATTGTGAGATTTCTAAAATACCTGTAGGGGGCAGAACAGCCCTCATTAGAAACCATTGCTATGTTGTCTGGATATTTTGGCTACACATCCTTGAATGCATGCATTCATCAGAACCCCTTAAACCCCCACTCCCCAAATTCAGGTGATGTTAAAGATTTGTGGGCTTTTTGTTTTTGTTTTTGTTTTTGCATTTGGGTAAAAGGAAGCATCCGATATGCTATAATCTTGTCACATCCCTGCTCAAAAACAAACACTTCAAGGCTTCCCATGAAGTATAGAATAATGACCACATTTTTTTCACAAGCCATCCAGATGCCTCTAATCTTACCCACTCCTCCTTCCTTATCTTCCCAGGAAAACCATACTCCAGCCACATGTGTTTTCCATATGGGGCCAGCCCTGTCTACCTTGCATGCCTTCTCTGCACTTCTCTTCTCAACCATTTCTATCTTCCTGACTCTTATCTCACTTTCTCCATGTTCTTAGACCCGATCTCCCACTCCACTATGTTCAAATAGAACATCGTTTATTCTCTGTATATAAAACGTGGTACTTGAAGACACTAGTAGTTTGCTTATGTACACAGTTAAGGAATAATGCAGTTTAAAATATTTTTGCAGACATAAAGGAAATATTTTTCAGGAACTGATATTTATTCTTTTGCTTGATTAAAATATAGATGTTCTTCAAGCCAGCAATCAAAGAAGTCTTAAAGTTCAGGCATTGCATCAACTTGGAAGTCTTCTTGTCTTCGCAGGAAAGAAAAGGTAGAATTTTTTAGGAGTCTTCTAAATGAGGGAAGACTTTGTTTGAAAATTTTTTTTAAATTATTGTGAAAAATTTTATTTTTCATAATTTCTAGTTCTTCAATAATATTACATTGCTACATTTGATTTATCAAATGCTACCTGAGAGAAGTGGTTACGCGTACATAATACACAAGTGGTATAGATGTTAATTAAAATGTTTCCTCAGTGCATTCACTTTCCCTTTTGGAAAGATTTGATGATACAGGTCTCGGAGAACAGACTGCTTGAAGCTTTGTTTCTGTTCTAGGGCTGCTTTTAAGTGCTGGTGTCAAGCTCTTGATGACATATTCAGAAAACAAGATGTGCTGCATACATGGAAAGAGTTTGGCGCCTCGCTCACCAGCGCCACCAACGGCTCTTCACCTCCAGGTTACAAGGACTACAGTGAGGAGTTTCTGTCCAGAGTTGGCATTTGGGGCTGTTTGCAAGGAGCGGTCATATCTGCAAAGATAGCCCAGTGAGTGTGATGATGGAATGATCGGCATAATAGCTACTAGCTTCCCTTTGTGGGGTACCCACCTGTGCCACATAGCGAGCCATGCCTCACACACACTGGATTCTTGCACCTGTGTCCACATCATAGAGGCCCACACTATCTACTTAATTGTGATGTTTATTGTTTATGGAGCTCTCCTCTTCCCATAATACCTCCCCCTCCGGAATGTAAGTGCCACATGGACACATACCTTTGCTTTCTTCACGGGTATATCCTGAGAGCCTTGCATGGAGTTGGCATTAAGTGACTGCTTGTTGAATGAATGAGTGAATGAACATTTGTCATGGGAGCAAGAATAGCAGTGTGGAGGCAGGCCAGCTCGGGCCTCATTCAAGAGCTTCCTATCAACTCTGTGACCCTTGGCAAGCTGTTCGTCTTCTCTGAGCCTCAGTGTCCTCATCTGCAAACCTTGGTGGTGAGAGTCACATGACGCATGATTAGTTTGCCAGAGCAAAGTGCTGAAGACTGGGTGGCAGAAACTACAGAAACATTTCAGACTATTCTAGGGGCTAAAAGTCTGAATTCAAGATGTACGCAGGGTTAGTTTCCTCGGAGGTCTCTCTCCTCGCCCCTGTGGGTGGTTGTCTTCCTGAATATACATCCGTGTCCTAGTCTCCTCTTCTTATGAGGGCATCAGTCATGTCAGGTTATGTCCCGCCTTGTGACCACTTTTTAATTTAATTACCTCTTTAAGGACCCACACCAATTTCATATTAAAGTCCTACACCTCAATACCCTCAGAATGTCACCTAATTTAATCTATAACACATTGGGTATTAATTCCCTACTGCTGCTTAAACACAGACTTACTATCTTACACTTCTGGAGGTCTGAAGTCCTAAAATCAATGTGTTGGCAGGTCTGTGTTCCCCCCACCACAGTTTCTATGGGAAAACCTGTTTGCTTGGCTTTTGCAGATTCTTGAAGCCATCGGCCTTCCTTAGCCCACGTTCATCTTCTGTCTTCCAGACCAACAGCCTCTTATCTTCCAATCAATCTCTCTCTCTCTCCCCTCTCTTCCCATCCTCAAATCTTCTCTTACCTTCCTGCCTTTCTCTTATAAGGACCACTGGGATTACATTGAACCAACCTAAATAATCCAGGATAACTATCTTGTGGCTCAATTTAATCACATAGGCAAAGTCTTTTTTAAATTGCTTTTGTCATATGACATAACATGTTCATAGGTTTTGGGAGTTAGGATGTGGACATTTTAGGCTGTGGGGACCATTATTCAGGCTATCACACATAACCTATGTGAAAGTCTCTTACAATGCCTTGTACCTAGTCAGCGCTCACAAATATCTTAACTGTTGTTTGATTAATGTGAGAAATTTAAAAAGTACACAGGGACTAGCGCTCACTTCGGCAGCACAGAGACTAAAATTGGAATGGCATAGAGAAGCTTGGCGTGGGCCCTGTACAAGGAGGACACACAAATTCATGATGTGCTCCATATTTAAAAAATCAAAGAATGGAGGGTTAGAGGTACAGGTTTCCTTCCCCAGTTATGTTACATTTATAGCTTACCTAAAGGTGTGGTGTGGCGGGGGAAAACCTGTGTAGTATTTTGAGCTGTAGAGCAAATATTTAAAAAGAATTAGTTACTAATCACATTGTTTTCAGAAAATTAACATCCCTGGGCAAGGGACATAAGAAATTATCTCCTTTATAATTATTAAACAGTAAATAATTTTTAAAAGTTTGTCAAGTTTGATTGTTTTGCACTCCTGGGAAACACACACACATGCACGTACACAATCCCCACGCAAGTCTGAGCTATGACTTAACAGAGCCTGGCAGCAGAGAATGGAAATGTTGAGACAGGTTCACAGCTTGAAAAAGGACTGCTATAGCATTCCTGCCGTTGGGCACCGCCGCTTCTCTGGGACTCCAAAGTTATTATCTACTGATTTTCAACCAACAGAAAGTCATTTCCCAGTTGTCCCACTGGAAGTCTGACTTCCACAGGATATGTGATACTACAGGGAGCTTGGCTGTTCTCAGAGATTCACTGAGTAGAAGAAACTCACCTCCTTGCTGTTCAGAGGGGCAAAAAGCCACACTTGAATATTCACATAGAGAAGTGAACTTAGACAATTAATGTAGTTAATATAGTTAAGCCAACTGGTTTTATCTAAATAAGATTTAGAAGAAGGTAGTATGGTTTATAGTTATATATGTGAATTTAAAGACTCACTTAAGGAGAAACTCAAAGTCTTTTAACAGACTTAAAATGAGACAGTAAATTCAGAGACATTACATTATCTTTGGTGGAGAGACTTAATAGCACCAATGTGTCCATAATATACTTAGAACACACAACATTTCAATCTTTTGGCAGGGAGTTATTTAACCATACTCATTAAAAATGTAAAACTGTGCATCTCCTTTTCCCCAAAAATTCCATCTCTAGGGATTTATCTAGTAGATCTAATAGGACAAGTGCTCAAAAATGTAGGTACAAAAACGTTTATCTCAGCATTGGAAAAAATCAAAGTGGCGATGAATATTTTTGTATTATGGTATATTCATATGATAAAAATATTTAAGTTCTGTAAAGTAATGATGTAGCTCATTATGTCCACGAATGGGACAATTGTTTGTAAAGTAATATATATTGCATAATTGTCTAGTCTTAATATGTGTGTATAACTAGGAAAAAGTCTAGAAGGAAATTGGCCAAAAGGTTCCCACTAATCATGTTTAGGTGGTAGGATTATAAGTGATTGCTTTATTTTATTTTTTATGGTTCTTAATGTTCTAGATCTTACATGAGTATGTAGCACTTTTAGAATAACAGACTATTTTAATTTTGGAAAGTCTGTGAGTATTAGAGATGTATTTATATAAAAACATTTTTCAAAAATTGCCTATGAATCAGTTTTTTTCTTATACTTATTTAGATTTATTAAGGAGTTTGATGTTGAGAAGAGATCAGACTGTTGCATTTTGTCTGCGTTACTCTTTCAGGTAATACTTTATATTTATCCTTCCATAGTAGCGTGACCGTTCAGTCAGTGAAGCGCAGTAGTTTATCATATTTATAAAACATACAGATAGGAAAACAGCATGAACGCTGATTAAATATCGTAAGCCCATCTTTCCTTCTCTGGCTGAACCCCATGTGGCGCTTTCACCTTTAGTATCCAGCGGAGTCAGTTTTCTCCTTGAGAATATAGAAGAAGGTGTTTTACAGATAAGGAAACCGAGTCACCTGTCGTTAGTAAGGTCATGTTGCGATTGAACAGCAAAGTCAGTCTGTTTGATTCCAGGTGGTTCCTTTAGATTACCTCATCTCCAAATAAAGTTTTGCTCAGTTGCATGATATAAAGTATACAATGGAGTGAAAACGAGAAACAATTTGAAGACTACAGAAATATGTAGAGTGTTTGCAGTTCTTAGGATTTGGGTTTGACTTTCCTGAAGAAGAAAGGAGCTTTTATGTGAAATACAAGACATTTTTAGATTCAGGAATCTCACCAGGGGCTTGGCAATGTACTAAAGGTTCTGTTTACTTTGAAATATGGACATCCTTGTTCTGTGTATCAGGAGGGTCTGATATCTTATGAAATCTGGGTAGAGAAGAACTTTGGGAAAGTTTTCTCTGAATGTAAGGCAGGCTTTTCAATTTTCTCATGTTCTATTCACCTCTTGCCTGAACTTCAAAGGGAAGAGGGGGAAGAGGCAAGGGTATAAAGTGAATAATGATCTGATTCTGATTTTGCATATTGCATCCTTCATATACTCCATTCCTTGTTCTTGAAAATAAGGCAGTATGTGTTTTAGAAAATAAGTGCAGTGGACCCTTGAACAGCAAAAGGATTGAGGGCATGCCGACCCCCACATAGTTGAGAATGTACATATAACTTCTTACTTCCCCAGAACTTGGTTGCCGCCCGGTATCTGTGGGAGGTTGGTTCCAGGATCTCCCACAGATAGTTAAGTCAACAAATGGGCGAGGTCACTATTAAAATGGCAGAAATCAGAGTACATAGACTCCCAACTGCAAATCAAAAAGAGCAGAGATACTAATGAAAAAAATCTGTGTATAAGTGGACCTTTGTAGTTCAAACCCATGTTGTTCAAGAGTCAGCTGTATTTTAAAAATATATGTCACTTTTTGCTTAATGTAGACATAATTTCTTAGGAATACTATACCTAAAAAAATTAGGTGGTAGGATTTATTTTTAAAAACCTGTTAATTCTTTTTATGATTTTGAAACAAATTTGTGAAACAAAAAATTTAAACAACTGCCTAGCATTTTAGAGTAAGATACCTTATAACTTTAATGAACAATCTGATGAAATTCTTTCTGATGTTCACATTAAAATAATTTTAAATGCATTTATCATCAAGGAATTTTAATTTTTTAAAGATAATATAAGAAGCAGTGCTAAATGTAAAATTTGATTTTTGTGTGTTCATCTTGTTTCTCTAGATCTAGTACAATGTTGGTCATATAAATTACTTAAGAAATATTGGTCAAATTAAAATAACCACCTTTTCAATTGATTCACTTAAGATTCAGTATTAGCTCTCCTTGATTTATACTTCTGAAGTAAGTCATCTCCTGTACCTATAGGCTGATAGTTTTTTGAGAGAAATAGATGACTTTTGAATCTTCTCCCTGCCACCATTGGCTAAGTTGTTTAAATCTCAATTATGTCATTGGTGGGATAATAATCCTTGTATGGGTCGCTTAAATGACGATTAAGTTAGATAGTGGTTAACAAAGAATTTACCAATAGTATCCAACACAAAATTGACTTGCAACAGATACTTTGATATAATGTAATTTCTCCTGAAAATGGTTATCCAATAACTTGGAATTTAAAAGGCACATCTTGTATGATAACATTTGGAACCTATGATGATGATGATGATATTAATGGTGAGTATTGTTTATTACAGGGTAGAGTGGGCTAGGCATGTGCTAAGCACTTTAGGAAGTACTACATGTACTTACCTTTCTGTGTCAGTATTGCAAAGGTAATTTATAGCTCTTGGTTTCACCTTTTCTCATTTTCAGGGCTTGCTTAGAACCACACTTCCGCATCCCAAAGCTGAGCGTTGCTATGCTCAGTATGAAATCACTCAGCTTCTCCCAGGCATCGAGCTCTTCTCTGATGTGCACAGGGCTGACATTTGCTCAGTAGTGGCAAGCCTGTATTACGTTATTCGCGAACTGCACTTTGCTAAGCAAAATATAATAGTAAGTAATTGGTAAAATCAATGAATCTTAATTCACTGTAATATTTTTTTTTGCTCCACTTACCTTATACTTTTCAAAATTTGTTACTGTTTTGTCAGTTCTTGTTTAACTTTTAAACTCTTTATTCAAGAGTCTTACCTATACCTCAAAATAAAATATACTAAGTAAGATTTTTTTTATATCATTGTTTACATGGCATTTTGGGTCCAAAAGCACTATTTGATTTTATCCTGTTTTTACTCTATTTTACCTTTTTTTCTTTAAGACATTTGGTGAAATTGATTAGAACGTTTCACTGGCCTCATACAGAGGAATCTAGTGCACATGTCACTCTCTGAGTTGTCGTGCAGGTCATATCAATACCAAAACTATGAGACTATTTATTTATTGAAAAATATTTATCTTTGCATCTTTTCTCTATTAAGGGTGCATCCTAAATAAAAGACAAACACTACTAGTATCCCAGGAAATTGAAAATACAGTACAACTCTTTATTTTTTTTCCTTTGTGTAAATGAACCACAACATATGTATCATGAATTTGAAGTTGATTGCATTTTTAAAACAAGTTAGGATGCTTTAACTTGGTCATTTTATATTTTCCTCCTATCTGCTATTTCCTCTACTCTCACATATCTTGTTTCCCTGTTTGCTTCTTAGTATCTGTGCTGTCTCTCTGCTTCTTTCCCTGCATAATTTTTATATTTACTTCCTTTTCTTATATATTGTTTTCTATTCTCTTGTTCTAAATTCACAGTCTTTCCTTATATTGAAAAGATTTATTTCTCCCTGATATGAGTTGTTAAATTATAAAGCCACATGTTAAAAGTGTAGAGGTTGATAAATGCTTTTAACACTTGGCAGATTTGGCAAGAAATTGTTTATTAGAAAAAAATAACAAAGTGGTGCTCCTTTCATTGTTGAGGGGATTCATTTCTGGATTTAGAAAATTAAAAAAAAAAGAAAATAGTTCTATCCCCTGGGCAGCATTTAACTGCCTAGTCATATTCGTATATAATACATATGACTGCACTGGACAAGAAATGAGACTTTTTTCCTCTGAAGCTTAAGAAATTGAGAACATTTTTCTGAATAATTGAGCAAATGGCAGCAATAAAATGGTGTTTTTATTTCTCACTAAACAAAAGAACATCTCAAAGGTAATAGCCAACTCATTGTTTTACGCTGCATTAACTGTAGAAAAAAAGTATTGTGTTATGTTTGTGGTGCATAATTGTAGAAAAATGTATAATGTTTGAAACATTTATGATCAATTCTAATCCTTTTTAAAACTGTTGCTATTAGCAGGTGCCAATTGGCTGACAGTCTTCTTAGCTGAACTTGCAGGATTAAAACAGTTCCCATTTTATATTACACTGCTGTCCAGAAAAAAACCTGGTAGCTAAGAAAGCTACTGTCATATATAAAATTTACTTTGGGATGAATTGCTGTGGAATCATGGGAAATGGTTTGCTAATTAGTGGGCATCTCAGTCCTCCTTGCTCCACCTCCCTTTAGTAGGGCAGTACCCAGTTGTAGGAACAGTGAGCTTCAGTTTTGAGTTGAGATCAGGAGGACCTGTTCCAAAGTGCACAATTTTCCGCTCATCACCTGTCTCTGGCTGCACTGAGTGGCTAAGTCAATTGAAACATTGATAGTCTGTAAGCCTTCACTTATGTCTGTGAAATTTCAAGAAGAGTTGAACTTTGGGGTTAATTGCAGGAAAATAAAAATATTATGTGAGCAGTAAACTTGGGTTTTAATCAGGAGACTATGTGCTCTGTGAAGGCAGTGACATTTTAGGGTGTTTTTTTTTTCCTTACTCAACAGTACCTGACACATATTAGGCTTGTTATGAATATTGGGTTGGTCAAAAAGTTTGTGCATTCCCCTCCCCCCCATAAGATGGCTCTAGTAGCACTTAGTTGTCTTTAACTTCATTCAAAACAATTTTGTTAAATTGTACTGTGACAGCTGTCATATCAGCGTACATTGAAAAAAACATCAAAATTTGTGAATTTCTGTGTAGCCATTTTAATACTGAAGATGGAAGAAAATATGCAACATTTTCAGCATATTATGCTTTATTATTCCCAGAAAGGTATAAACACAACTGAAATGAAGAAAAAAATGTGTACAGTGTATGGAAAAGGTGCAGTGACTGATTGAACAATGTCAAAAGTGGTCCACGAAGTTTCATGCTGGAGATTTCTTGCCAGATGCTCCACAGTCAGATAGATTAGTTGAAATTGATAGTGATCAAATAGAGACATTAAATAAGAACAATCAAAGTTACACCACACAGGAGATAGCAGACATACTTAAAATACCCAAATCAATAAAGTTATTGGTGAAAATGAAAAGTGTGTCTTTTATGGAAAAAACTAAATGGACTTTTTGGCCAAACCAATATTATTTGTCTGATAGAGATATTCTAATTGAAGGAAAATAGCAGCTGGCATTGAGATGAATAAATAGGAGGTATCAGGGGACATGGATGTGAGTTCCTGTGCTTTAAATTTTGTATTTGTGTGAAAGCTCTTTTGCTAGAATGTTTCCACGGGCTTCAGTAATTTATACATATATGTTGAATTAATTTTTCCAGGAAGATAATTAGTTGCATTTTAACTTCTCAGTTTTTAAAAAGATGTGAAACCTAAGGTTTGTATACCAAGTGGCATCTACTTGGAACTGTAATTCCCTGATGGCACTTTAAGGTTCTGATAAAATTATGAAGAATATACTAGGAGACCATTTTACTTACATCAAACAGTATAATTTCCTAGCATGGAAAAAAATCACTATTTTACATAACATCTCCTACATTATTTGTCTAAATTTTATTATTAGGTTATTAACGTGATACAATATTTTTTAAAGTAAAGTGTTTCTCTGTTGGTAGATTCTGCCTCTCCTTGCGTTGTACCAATATTTTGTTTCTGTAATTTGCCAAGACTTGGTCAGAAATTTAGAAGCAAGAATCCTCAAGGTATGTTACAAGTTTTTGAGACATATGATATTCTTGAACTGTTAAAGATATTGTCATGAATTAATGTTGTTCTTTTTTTATTTTATTTTTTCAAATACATTTGTCTCTGCCTACCCCCCACCACTTTCCCCTAATTTTGTTCTAATACTCATAATGATAAGCTGGTAATAATAAGGTATATGGATATTAAAAACACTTGCCCATCATTATAATAAAGTATGAGAAAGACAGTTAGACAGTTTTAGCTATTTTGTGCTTGGGCCTCAGTAAAGCAAAGAACAGTTCTACCTGGTAACAAGGCTCACCCAACACCAATCAGTCTGGAAACCACCACTTTTGGAAAATCGGTTTAACTGAAAGATTGGGGACTAATGATTCCATTTGCTGCAGTTTCTGAGATTTTTTTTGCTAAGGATCTTTATGTATATTATTGTCTGCAAGAATTTAAAATTTTTTTATATGTTTATTTTATTTTTACTTTTTTATTGTATTTTTTCCATTACCATTTATCCGCCCTCTACCTTCTCTCACCTCCCTCCCCAATGCACTCACCACACTGTTAATTGTGCAGAAAATTGAAGCAACAAAACATACAGGCACTAAATTACAGTGAACTATAGAACCTAGGAATCAGCTGGGTTTCTCTGCCTTCAAGATTCACGTGCAGTTGGCTTGAACCCCATGTGGAGTAGAAACCTCTAGCACCTCATTTTCTCTGCCTCTTCTCCCAGTCACCTGTGGTTGCAGGCTCCCACTTTGGCTGATTTTGTTTGGTACATGGATCATTTTAAAATTCAGCAAACTTGCTCCCTGTTCTGCCTATCCTCATCTCTAATATGGAGCTCAACTCTATTCCATATAACACACAGAGACACATACATTCACACACACAACATATTTACCTGAGGCATTTATTTCTATATTGGACTTTACTGAAAGTTGGGAACACAAGAAATCTTAAGAGGAGGCAAAACAAACCATTTAAAATAGAGTATTTGGCATTTCTGAGCTTAAAATATTTCTTGGCCAACATCTCATGCTTTGCCTCCCAGCCCATAGCTGTGTGGTGGGAAATGTTTCACAACTCACTCTAAAAAACGAGTTCTGATTCTATAGCATTTGAAATTTCCGTGACTCGGTGCTCTCCTAGAGCCTACCTCAGCCTACCAGTCGGGCATTACTGACTGCGGAGCTGGGGCAAGATGTGCACGGTCAGCTCTTGCAACTGGGAGCAACTAGGCGGCAGCACACTGTGGGCGTAGCCCTCTCCCTCCTTGTTTGGAAATGCCCTCTGCGCTTCTTCCCAATCTTTCCTGTTTTCTAATGGGGGAAAATGAGAATTCCCTTTACACTGTTCCCTCCATCCAGAGCCTGCCCTACGGCCTGTATTTTCAGACCCAAATAGTCCATCACATTCTTTTTCTAATCAAATAAAGTACCTTCCCTAAGAAGACGTCTGGTGCTGACTATTACGATAATGTATTTTAATTTGGGAATAAATAGTTTGTTATCAGCCATGGTAATTGCTGGATTACCATTTCTGAGTTCCTGAACTCTTAAAGAGTTTTGCTTTTGAATTTCAGTAACACTTGAAAAAACAACACATACAACTTTTCTCTCTCTTTTTTAAAAACAGTGCTCTCTTCAAGATCACAAAATTCTTAAATGACAGGGCCTGTATGTACTCCTCTTTTAGTCCTGTGTGATGTCTTGTCATAAGCTCATACACTTGATATTCAGTAATTAGTTATTGAATTGAATTTAAAATCTATAGACATTTATCAAATGCCTTCTCTCCACACTCTCCTTCGTGTTTAGCAGGAACTCACTTAGAAGACACTTGGTAAATATTTATTGCTTTACCTTTGAACCATTTATTGAGTACCTCTTGTATAAGAGTGCCATGTTAGTAACTCTCATCAAAGATATGCAACCCATGGTCCTTGCTTATAGGAACATGAATATAAGGGAGAGAGACAGGACATTTAACACAACAGTACCGTGTGCACTTTCCACTTGATCATTTCCAAATGAGTATGAGGAGCGCTGTCCCCAGGAGTTCGAAAGGGGGAAAAATGGCTTTGAGCCTCTATGTTTCACAAAGTAGATAAGATTTAGGCTTGAAAAGAGCAAACCTAACTTTGCAGGAGAGAGGAAGAGGGAACGACGTTCTTGGCAGACAGTAGTGTGGTAGAGAGAGGCTTCCCTTGTTGAAGTCCCCTCAGCAGCTTTTCCTGTGTCTCTCTCCCTCACATCACTCCCAACTCTTTTCTTAAAGATACTGTCCTCAGGGAAGTTCTTTTTCCTGACCACAGTTTTGAAAATAGCAATTTTGTCAGTACCCTCAATCCCTTCTCTGGACTGGAGGGGAGGTTTTGGGTGAGGAGGTAGGAGGAGATAACATGAAAGTACCAGAGGTCCATGATGGGGACAAAACCAGGGGCCAGTCCTGAGTTCTGAACTGAGACATTATGTGGAGGCGGGGAAGCCGGGGAGATAAGGAGGCTGGGCTGACGGTTTTATTTTGGTCTATGATGAGAGGCAAGCGTGGAAGGCTTGCAGTGACCACGAGTAACGTGTCAGAAGGAGATGCAGAGAGGCACTGAACGAACAAAGGTTCTCGTGAAGTGACTGTTTTTTTATTGGATTGTTAACTTGACAGGCCACTTGACAGCTGTTTTTGTATAGAGCAGCTCAAAAGCTAGCAAAGAACTGTGGAATTCCGTTCTGTAGCCATCGGTTGGAAGGAGGAATTGGTTGTAGAATTTTGATCAGGAGAAGTGCGTGATCAGATATACCTGGGAACAGTGCTGGGAGCAGAGAGAGATGGAAGTGGGATCTTATTGGCATAGAAGGACTGAAAAACCTGACCAGGGTTTTAACAGGTGCCGTGAAAAGGGCCAACCAGTGCGTGGCACAGAGGAAAGGAATGACAGCCTGTGTGAGCAGAGTTTACCCGACCTTTCTGGAGTAAATTGGGGTCAGTGAGTGGGAAGGGAGGATAGTCGTAGCCAGGAAATAGCAAACAATGCTGCCTTTTTGACAAGCCAAATAGCAATAGATCACGCTGTTAAGTTTCTAAGTGCTCAAGTGTCTTTCAAGGAAATCTTTAAGACCGCTTTACGATCAGCTGGTCTGGCTTCACTTCAAAAGTGCCAACATGTTGAAAGATTTTTTACCCTCAACATATCTAACATTCCTGGAAAGGGTATCATTAGTTCTGTATTTGTATGAGTGAAGGGTTGATCTAGGAGTAGATTTTTTTTCCCTTCTGGCTTGTTTGTGTTCACAGTGTTGGCTCTTTCTGAAAATATATGTCCACTATTATCACCATTTCTTTTTTGAGTGGTCTGGTTGGCCCGATAAACTGAAACCAGAAGCAGCCTCAGCCGTTACAGGTAGTCCATGTACAGCAATCTGGCAGTCAAGACCAGAGAAGAGCACCCTAACCTAGACACAAAGAGACATTTCCTCCAAGGGGCAATGAGAAAGACGTTCATCTAGAAGTCTGATGGAGCTCATGTGACTCCCTAACGCCTGCTTTGTTATTTTATGGCACTGGGGAGATTAGAGCCAAGGTGTCTTGGGCAAGAACCAAAGTATACAGCTCAATAGACAAGAAATTTTCTCCACTAAAGATATTCTCCTGACCTTTTATGTTTCATTTTCATGTTATTGTCACATCTTACTCCCCCTAACGTACTTTCTTTTTATTTATTTAAAATTTATACACTCTTGAGATTCCTTAGACTGTGCTTAAAGGAAGAGAAAGGTGGATATATATGTTGAAAACAAGTTGAATTTCCTTTTTCTATTTCATATGTATTTTCATAATCTTCATCCAATTTTGTATACCATTCCTTGCTTCTATAATTTACCTTTCTCTATTTTCTAGGAATTGACTAGATGTTTTCAAAATGTAAGTGAGGTCATGGCCCTGCCCTCTTCAGACTCTCCTGTAACTTATCACCCAGAGAATGAAACCCCAAGCCTCCACACTGGTGTACAGGCCACTATTCACACCCATTCCCCAGCCTTTGTCCCCTCTCTCCCTAAGCTTCCACTATACAGGCTGTCCCTGAGTGCACCAAGCCCCCCACACTGCCCTGCCTCCACATGACCTTTGTACTCAAAGTCCCCTCCTCAGCTTTTCCTGTGTCTCTCTCCCTCACATCATTCCCAAATCTTCTCTTAATGATATTTTCCTCAGGGAAGTTCTTCCTGACCACAGTTTTGAAAATAGCAATTTTGTCAGTACCCTCAATCCCTTCTCAGACTGTGCATGTCTTTATGTATCACTTAAATTCAGCCGAACACACTCCAAGAGATCTTGATGTGTAAGAAGGGCTGAATAAACACGTTAAATGAATGAATGAATGAATTTGATCAAGAAATTTTTTCTTCTTATAATTTCCTGATTGAAAGTTCTGCTGGATTATATTAAGAATAAGCCATGCACAATGTATAGTTACCAATTAATTAATGTCTTTAAAATTGACAGTGCCTGTTAATTATGGATAAGAAAATGAACAGTTGTCTCTATGTTGTGGAGTTCCTCTCCTGGTTTGTTTTACTCTACTCAGAGTGTTAGAGAACATCAGGAGTGTTTTTGTTTTGTTTTTCTTTTAAATCATAGCTCACCATTCAATTATTTTTTAACTCTTCCATGCCCATGATATTTTATGTGTTTGCCTCCAAATGAAGTAGCCACATCTGATAACCATCCATTGTTTTCAATAGTTTCCTGCTATTATTTATTAACCTCTTGGTCTATTGCATATGCCAACTATCTTACAAACGCATGCATCTCTATCACCCATGTTTACTAAACATTAATTTATAACATGTTATGAACATTAAGCACAAATTTTGGATCTCAGTTGATGATTTTTCTCTAAAATTTTTTTTAAGTTAAAAAATTGTTTAATTTAGCAAGGACTCACCGGGGGGGGGGGGGGTGGGGGGGTGGGGGGAAGGAGAGACAAATGTATTTAAAAAGTAATATTTAATAAACATGTTATAAAAATTGTTTTAAAATCTTACCTTTTTCTTTCCTTTAAAGATTGAAGTCCTTACAGATTTAAGCTTCTTTTCTGAAGCCTTTCATGAGATGTCCCAGATTTTTTATGGAAAAAACATGCCTTCCTTAATACCTGCTGGAGTTAAAGCTACTGTGAAAGTGAAGGTAAACCTGTTGATGTGATTCAAAGACATTGCTTTACCTTTTGAAGGCTAGATTCCTAAGTTCCAGGAAGTGCGTCCACAGAGATGTAGTGACAAGTCACCAGCTCTCCAGCCATCTTTGTTTAGCCTGGCAATCGCTGTCACCAGGCTTTCACAAGGTTTCATTTGTCTGCAATGGAAGGTGTCCTGCGGGGCAGGGAGTATGGTCTTGATGTAGACTTTTACAGTGAGACTGTGGCTCTATATTATAACTATCGTGGACGGCCTCAGTAGACACACCTATCAGCCGCCACCTCTTAGACTTTTGGGTCTAATCTTATACTTTCAGATTAATGTTCTTAGCACAGTTTCTCCTCATGTTTTATTTGGATGTTTTTGTCTAATATACTTTATACCAAAGAGTTAAACATGTATTTTTCAAATTTCATTTGACCTCTATGAAGAGAGGACATTCCTGAGCTTTGTCTACTCTTTTTTGACTTTGGGAAATTATTTTACCTGGCTAGCTTAATTTGCATTTGTAAATCAGATAACTGAGGCATCCTTAAAACTCAATACTGGTGTTTATATTTAAATCAGAGTGAACTATGACTTTCATCTGCTTTAGTTTTCAGGGCGATCTGGGAATCACTGGATGATCTTGTTTTAGAGAACTACTTGCACTCTAGTAGGCAGCAATAAAGGAAATAGAACGAGATAGCGAGTCAGTGTCCCAGGGGACACTGAGTGTGTGAGGAGTGAGACTGATAGACAGGGACATGCTGATGGGATTCAAATTTGGAGGACCTAAAACAAGCTGGGGAATAGGCCGTAAGTCTTGAAAATTACTTGCTGAAGCTGACATTATTTTTATATGTGATACATTCATTACTTTAATGTATTCCCCTAAAATGTATCTGCTTATTTCTCAGTCTGACTGCTACACTACAGCATTGTAATTTGCTATAATAGGGTAAGTGTGAGGTTATCTACAGAAAATCCTAAGAGGGACCTTCTGTAGGCAAAAGGATTCATGCATGCGTGTGTGCATGTGTGTGCATGTATTTATCCATCTGTCTTTTGAGGAATCAGTTCTTTTGTTCATTTTCTGTGGCATGAATTATTTTCTTACTTCAGTAAAATTAGTATTTTTTGCTTGCTTCTTTGTCAACAGCTCTCCCTATTATAAATGGTTTATATTTTGTTATTAAAATTAGATATTAATTCATTTAAATGTGTATTGAGAGCTCATTGAATACAGGCACTATTCCAGGCACAAGGGCAGAGCAGTGCGAAGATTAATAGGTTTATTGCTGTCCTGGAGGCATGTTCTTCTTGGGCAGTCCAGGGAGGAGACAAACAGTGAACATATTAAACACATGAATATATGTCGGGTGCTGATGTGCTGTGAGGGCAATCCAGCTGAGATCGGAAGACAGAGAGAGTGTCCAGAGCGGCAGGTGGCTGTCTTACTGAGGGTAGTTTGGGAAGTCTCTCTAATAAGAGAGTTTTAAGGGTGAAAGATTTGTGAGAAAAGTCTTCCAAAAAGGAGGAGCTTCAACGCAAAGGCCCTGGTGGGATCCACCAAGGGGGCAGGTAAGGCTGGAACAAGGAGGAAGAGGGAGGGGAGAGGGTGGGACCCAGGAGCGAGGTCTTGGAGGACCTCAGAGGGTGTGGCCAGGACTGGAGCTTACTCTAAGTGAGATGGAAGCCTTGCAGAGCTTTGAGCAGAGGAATGAGGGGTTTGGGATTAAATTTTAAAGGACCACTTTGCTTGCTGTTTGGGGACTAGACTGTGGATAGGCATAATAGGGAGACCAGCCAGAAGGCTTTGCACATAATCTGCATGAGATGGGGCAGGGGTAGTGGGAGGAGTGGAAAGTGGTTCATTTCTGGGTATTGCGACAGTAGAGCTGGCACCGTTTGCGGATGACGGTTTCAGTGTGGGATATAAGAGAAAGGAATCAAGCATGACTACAGAGTGTTCAATGTGAGCAACTGGTAGGAAGAAGTTCCTATGAACTGAGATGGGGAATACTGCTCCAGCCTGGGTGGCACAGGTTACGTGTGAGATCTCTGCTAGACATACAGGTGGAGGTGCAGGGTCAGCAGGTGCAGAGCATGTATGGTCTGGAATTCAGGGGAGAGGCTGGGGCTTCGGGCAAATTTGGGAGCATTAGCACAGAGATTTCCAGTCATGGAGCTGGATAAAATCAGCTGGGGACTGAAGGAGATGAAAGAAGCAGGGGACAGAGAACGGACCCTTAGGGTACTCCACATTTAGAATCCAGGAATGAGAGGAGGAGGAAGAAGCCAGCTGCTTAGAATGAGAAACAAGAGAGACTGTTGAATGGTCATGGCTTTCACCAGAAGAAACAAATAAATAATCTGAAGCCAAAATTGAAAGGTAAATTGAAAACTTCATTTTAATCCACTAGTTATCATAAGGCAAAAGTGTGAGTGCATTGTCTCCCAGTTGGATGGTGACTTCAAATTTTCTATCTTCAAAGTTAATTCGCAGCGTTACAGCTACAACTGGGAATTTAAAAAGTGTAATTAAAAGAGGAAATGTGTTCAGGGCTTATAATAGGCGCCAGTGTTGTTAGGCTGCAAGCTAGTTATTTAAAGAGAGAATTAACGAATCAGATTTCAGATGTCAAAGAAGTACAGTAAGTCGTCAATTAAAGTCATCTGATATGTTCTTAGAAATTGCAACTCTAAGTGTAACAATGTATCACAAAACCAGTTTTATCATAAGAAAATTGATATAAAGAAGAGTAAAGTTCCTGGGGCGTAATTCTGGTCACAAAGAACAAACATCACCCAACTTCTAAATAAAGACCCAAAACACATCTAATATTAATCATTAAAATAAGTGTGAGCTTCGCATACATGTAAGAAAGATGAATAAAAACAACACAATGATTTTCCAAACAGGACGTATTCCAGTTCAGGGTCATGGGCAGCTGGAGCCTATCCCAGCAGGTCAGGGGCCAGGTGGGAACCCACCCTGGACAGAAAGCTCTTCCACCACAGGGTGCACTCACACACCCACCTAGACTGGGACAGTTAACCCCACATGCACATCTTTGCGATGCGGGAGGAAGTCGGGGCCCCTGGGGAGGATGCATGCAGATGTGGGGAGAACGTGCAAACTCCACGCAGACAGTGGCCCCTGCTGGGAATCAGCTTTCTTTTTCCTCCTCAGTGTTACAACAAAAGGACATTGAATGAAACAATGTAATTCAAGGACACGCTATGTCTGAAAAAGTCGTACAGATTATTATTGGACTTTTCACAGGCTTTTAAAGCATCCTCTCTTAACGTTACACTCATAATGAGATTCTGTTCTCATCACCCGGTCTAAAGACCCATCAGCTCTCTTCAGATTATATCACTAAAGCTCTCTCCCTGGGTCCAGTTGTTCATTCTCCTATGTATTATAGGAGATAAAGAATATCTTCAAAAAAAGGAAAAAAAATTAAAACCCCACCAACAGTTTCTTTCAATAAGAGCTTTATGTGATGTCTTGGTTGAGGGATCCCACAGAAACAGATCCTGAGACAAAGATTTGGAAGCAAATAGTATTTTGAGGAGGAGGTTCCAGAAAGAATGGCAAGCGAGTGGGAAAGTCTGATGGAGACTCGGGGAACAGCATTCCTCAGAGCAGTAAGGGGTCCCTGCTGTGAGCATTTGGGACGCTCAGAGAGACTGACTGGAACAGATTCTGTCCCTCATGGGTATGGGATGCTCCCTGCACTTCTGGCCTCTCCTGAGTGTTCTTGAGGCCACAGAATGCTCTCAAGCAATGAGGCACAGGTGATGTAACATACATTCGGTATGCGAGCTGCCTGTCCACAAAGGCTGCTGGTGGCTTCCAGGTGACCGAGGGGATGTGAGCAGGGCATCAGTATTGGCATCTAGAATGGACACTTTCCATAAAGGGCTTCCTGTGCCCAGAGAAATGCACCTTACTTGGTGGGACAACAGCCTCCTGTGGCAAGTAAATTGAGTATTTCTTTATGTAGCATTATACAATGTTTAGAGCCAAACATATTGACAGGTAATTCATTAAAAAGAAGAGCCACAAAAAGAGTCATTTTGAAGAGTATTACAATTTAACCTCAAACTGGCCAAGATATACGTATACACATATATCCATCCTTACCCAAGGACATTTTTTCATTGCTTGTGGAGAGAGGACAGAAGGGACAGAGAGAGAGAGAGAGAGAGAGAGAGAGAGATTGGTTGTCTTTTCCTATGCATCCTGACAAGGGATCAAACCCATGACTTCTTCTGTCTATAGGACGATGCTCCAACTGAGTTAATTGGCCAGGCCTGGCCAAGATGTTTTTAAGTGCTAGTATTCAATGCTGTTAAAAGTGCAATAATCCTGGCATTTTCATACAACACGCGTAGAAGTATAAGTTAAGACAGTTCCTTTCAGTTTTCTCAATATATTCTTGTCTTGTGACCCTGTAATTCTGCTTCCAGGGATCTATCCAAAGATGATAATCAGAAATACAGACAGAATCATCACCAGTGTTATTTAAATAGACTATATGGCAGGGTGAGGGTGGGAAGTAGTCCCCTTCGATGTCTAACAGTAGGGAAGTGGTTATTATGCTGCATCATAGACTAGAACATTGCCTAGCTATTAGGCTGAAGTTTACAAATACTGGGGTGGGAAAATAATTATGAGGTTATGTTTAGTGAAAAGGAATACAGATCCATACATAAAATTTTAAAATACATCAAAAAAGATATTAAAATATTAACATTGACAACCTAAAAGAGTTGATTTATCTCTGATTTTTACTATTAGTCTATTAGTCTTATGTTTTCTGACTACTAGTCAGAATGTAGTACTTTGACAGTGAAAATGATATTTAAGATATGCTTAGAACACATTAACAGTTTTATTTAAGGGAACACTCAATATTTTTGCTTCTAATGTTAATATTTTGTGTGTTGACAGGTATTTCAATCATTTGACTCAGGAAAACCTCTTACTAGTAAAGAAAATATACAGGTAACAATATCGGTAGTTTATAAACATTGACGATGTAGTGTGGATAAATTTTTGACTCATTTCAACCTGTTTGATAGCTATAATCTTTGTTTTTGAAAATCCTCTATGTAATATGCTCTTCTACTTACCAAAATGCTGAGGCCAGAGGTAAGATTGGACGCACATTGATCTGGTGTTCAGACTGGGCAAATATCAGTTATTGTTCTTACATTTTTCAATTATACATATGTGTTCGGTTTGTTCATCTAGCCATGTCCAGTATCTAGCTTTGATGTTTGTCTTGATTACCTACACAACAATGGCTGACCTTGATTGTAAGAAAAGAATTTTGCGTATTTTGCAATGGCCCATTTGTTCAACCCAGCCTTCACTCATATCCTTTACCCCTGTCTGAGACTGTCTCTCAGTCAATGGCTTGGAAGGTTTTCTTCTTGTATTTAAATTTTTTTTATTGAGAAGTAATTGCCATATCACATTGTATAAATTTAAGGTATATGCATGTTATTTTGATACACTTATATATTACCAATACTGTATATACATTATCCTATATATACAATACAATTATCACCATAGAGGTGCTGCTCCTCTAATTTCCCCAACATTTTTTGCAAAGAGAGGGCTAGCCTGCCTACCTCAATATGTTTGCTCTTGTCAATAATTAAATGGTTGGGATTTAAGCTTTTGACCTAGTACCATTTAAATAACTTGACATGATTGTTTTTAAAGATCTCTGGACTACCAGCAGTCTGTCCACTAGTAAGTTGTTAGAGTGCAAGAGCCGTAGTGCAGCTATTCCTAAAAGGGGTGATGGACAGGTGAGGGGCCCGTTCACCCAGGTGACAGTTCATGCACATGGACAAACGCACATTGTTTTAATTTTTTAAATGCTAGGAAATAGCATTCTGTTTTATTAAGTAAGGTATTTTCTTTCATTAAATAATTTTGAGAGACACGCCTTCAAAATTGCTTTATTTTCATTTTCCCTAATTTTAATAAGAGTATATCCATCTTTTATTAAATGTAATCTTATTACTTTTCTGTTATTGTTCACTTTATTGCACAAACTTTACATATAATTATGCTTCAGATGATTCATTGTTTTTGCTTTAAAGTTTAATTTATAAGCAAGCTGCCTGAAATGAAAGAGCTGGTATTAGAGAGATATAAATACATATTCATGTTTCATTTTAGTGTTTGAAGATCTTAGGAGGTTTAAGAATATTTATTTCCTTCTAGTCATAAATGCCAAAGCATCTTAAAAACAATTTTTTTAAGGGTGGTTGGGGATCTAAAAGGAATGTCTGCCTTATCACTTCTTTTTAAACAAAAAGAAACTGATAGTATAATGGAGAACTGATTTCTATTAGCTAATTAATTAAAACAGAACCCTTAGTCTGCTTAAGACTTTTCAGATTACATTTTATATTTCTTTTTTTTTTTTGGTATAGAGTGAGAGAAAGGGGTGTTAAATAGCATTTCTAATTAATCTTCTTTTGATTCTCAAGTGTTTGTGTGTAATTGTCAAGACTCATTAAATCGCTGCTGTGAAGAGAAAAGAAAAGAGAAAACTCCTCTTCCCCATCCCCCAACCAACCTGCAGGTTTTCCCCTAGATCCGGAATATCCAACCATTCCCCTAGCACAGCAGCCTGTTACAGCTCAGGCTCAGCGCAGCTCAAAATCTGGCTCTTCAGTGCTTGTTCATTTTCACCCTTCAGGGGGGTCGAGAACGGAGAATGGACAACAGCAGCAGTCCTTTCTGCTGCCAACATTGCCTCGAATGTGCCCAAACAATGAGAATTTTTTTTCCTTTGAGCTCACAGAAAGCAAATACTTTCTTTTCTAGAATAAACAGCCCCAGCTTCTGCATTTTATATTAAGTCAGCAAGTCTATAATAAGAGCCTATTCTGGTACTGTCAAATAAGCACATCAATTGACAATGCAGACAAACTCCAAGCCCTTGGGAAGCTTATATGTTAGTGGGCAAGACTAGTAATAAATATATAGGGAAACATGATAAATAAGTAAATGATATAGTATGTTAGAGGGCGAACCATGCTATGGGAGAAAATAAACCCAGGAGTGCATAAAGGGGACTGGAAACGTGGGGCTACGTTGGGGGTTGAGATTTTAAATGGGGTGATCGAGTTAGTCTTCGCTGAGGTGATATTTGTGAACAGATTTGAAAGAAGTCATATGAAATACAGAGAAAGAATAACCTAGGAAGACGGTACAGTGATTGCCAAGGCCCTGGGGCAGGATTGCCCAGCACGGTGAGAAACACATTGGCCGGCGTTACTAGAACTGTGTGAATGATGGGAGAGCAGTAGGAGATGAGGTCAGAGAGGTAACAGGGTGCCAATTTGCAAAGGACCTTGTAGCGCCTTTGTAAATTAGGTTCTTACTCTGAACAAAAAGAGAGAGCCACTGGAGGGTTTAAAATAGAGGTGTGGCCTGATCTAGTTACGTTTTAAAAGGCTTATGTTAGCTAATCCATTGAGCCTACTGTGTACTACCCCGGCATTGTTCTAGTGTAGTCAATCAACAGGACAAATTCCCAACCCTCATAGTTTCACATTTGAGTGCCTCAGCGTGGGTGTGTGTTTGGTGGGGGGACTAGGAATACAATTTCGGAGATGTTCAGTTTCAGATACCTGTAAGATAGTCAAGTGAAGGTATTGAGTCAGAAATTGATTATATATGTCTGGAGTTCAGAAGAGAGATTGGAGCTAGAGAGAAAAACTCTTGTTTCATCAGTACAGAGATGTCATTAAAACCAGGAGCCTGATTAAGATCATCTAAGGGAGGTAGGGGGGTGAGGAGGCAGAAGAGGACCAAGCCTGAGATGCTGCCCTGTTGAGAGGCAGGGGAGAAGGAGAGGAGCCAGCAAGGAAGGCTGACAAGGAGCGGCCATTAGGGTGGGAAAGAAATCCAGGGAGCGTGGTAGCCTGGAAGCTAAGAGAAGCATTTTCAGAAGAGGGAATGATTAATAGTGTCAAATGTTGCTAATGAATCAAGCACCGTAATTTACTGAGTCCTAAAAATACATTTTTTTTCACATTTAACATCTCTGAAATTAGAACGAATTTTAGAGTTGAAGCCCTGTGACAGTTTAATTGGCATGTAAGATAATGTTTTAAAGATCAGTGATTTTCAACCTTTTTCATATCATGGCACACATAAACCAATTACTAAAATTCTGCAGCACACCAAAAAATATATTTTTTTCCTTATCTGACAAAAAATGTAGCTATAATTTTGATTCTTTAGCACCAGATGGCCATTGTTACTTTTTAATTTGACAATCTAAGGGAAAAGAGGTCAGTGCCCCTGACTAAATGGTCAGGGATTGCATGCCTTAGCAATTCTTGTGACACACTGGTTGAAAATCGCTGTCTTAGATCGTAAGTAATATGACACAGGAGGACTGAGCGCTGAACATTGAACTTAGTCAACTTTAGGCCACTGGCGACATTGACCAGAGGGTTTCAGTGTAGGGAAGGCATCTGTCTATAAGCAAATCAAAAGAGAGAAATTAGAATATTGACAGCTCTTTAGGTCGTGCTGTAAAGAGGAACAAGGACTGGGGGAGTAGCTGGAGAGAAAGTTGGGTTTTAGGGTTTTCATTTTTTGAGATGGAGAAGACAGCATGGCTGTGTGGCTGCGTAGTTTGCTGTAGAAAAGGCACACTTATGATGTAGGGAGAATGGCTGAGTAGACCAGTGGGGACAGGGTCGGTGGCTTAAGTGGCAGGAAAAAAGGCAGCGTGGCGAGGCAGGTGCTTGGGTTGGTTGGAGAGATGGTGGCATTTGTGGGGTCTGTGGACATAACTTTGCTTCAATTTTCTCAGTTATGTAGAGAAAGCAAGGTCATTAACAGGGAGGGACATTGGGGAGGAAGAGTGAAAATTTAGAAACAAGGAGAGCGTGAAAATAGTTGTCTAGAAGAGAGTGAGAATGAATGGACTGGGAAATGTGCAGTGACCAGGCAGCACTGAGGTTTGGCTGGGAACTTAATGTGGGAGCACTGATCGTGACCGCATGATCTTCTCCAGCCTCCTCCAACTGCGGGGTGCGTGCCCCAGGAAGGCTCCCTGTTGGATTTTTACCAGGGCTGTGGTCTTGCCAAGGAAGCATGTATGTACAGGCCTGGGACCAGGGAGTTGGGGGCGTATCCAGGGTGGAGTTCTGATGATTGAGCACAGATCTAAGCTGGGCAGGGAGCTTGTTTGTCTGCCCCCTCTTCCCATTCCTGTCCTCATAGCTCTAACTTGTGTTAAAGCAGAGTGGCCAGCATGCATGGCTGATGAGCTTTTGCAGGTTCTCTGTTTTAAAGGTGTCACCTCCCTTGCTCTCAGTCCTGGTTCGCTGTCATCCTATGGCAGGGCTGGGCTCCTGAGGCACAGGCCACAGGTTGGTGGGGACTTGCAGAAGCGCTGTGGAACTGCTGTTTCTCTGGATAGACCAACTGGTTATGGTACCTCATGTCTGGCCCTGTATTCTTTTACCCAAAACTAAGTGAGGAATGCAAAAGGGGACTGAAACTAATGATATCTAAAAACAATACTTTGCTTATTTGCCTTTTTAAATCCCCCCCCCATTTTTCTTAGGCACTTGATGAATTAATAAATAAAGCCTTGCCTCAAATTCTGATTACAATTGGCCATCAACATCTCTTAAATAAGTTTTCTTTTGTGAGAGCATACTTTTTAGTAAGTGTGGCTGCAACAATAAATTGTGTCCCGGAAAATCTATTGAAAACAGTCTACCATGGATTTGTTTCCGAGAGGAGCAGAGCAAACCTCCCAAACTTGAAAGGTAATCTTTTGTTTTATTGTTTGCTTGCTTTTCTTTCTTCTCGCTTTTTCCAACTCTGCCCCTCGCTGCACCCCTAGTAAGCCCTATTGTTTATTATTTAGTATCTATTTTTCCATACTTTTTTCTAAACTCGCTAATGACATACATATGTGCTTATGTTTATGTTTAGGATCATATCCATCCATACATCTCCATATCCATGCATTATACACATACACCACCCCCCACATAGGATTTGTCATTTATTCAAATGATGTATTTTTACATTTTTTTCCTGCATCTTGCCTTTCTCATGCAGAATAACTTCACCGAGACAACTCTTAAGTCAACTGCGTTGCTTTGGTTCACTGTCCTGGCTGTGCAGTGTTCCCTGCAGTGACTGTGAATGTCCCATGGTTATTCAAACAGTCCCGCTGTGGATATGCATTTCCTTTTTCCTAGGGAACGGTGCTGGAGCTCTGCATGTCCATATGACATATTGTATATTTCCATGGGATAAGACACCGTGGATGGAATTTATGGGCCATAGTATAGATGTATTTTGCAAATGTATTAGATACCATCATAAAACTAATTGTTTTTCACCATCAAATATGATGTTAATTGTGGGGTTTTTATATATATCTTTTATCAGAGAGAGGAATTTCTCTTTCGTTCCTAGTTAGTTGAATGATTTTGTCATGATAGAGTGTTGCATTTTATTAAATACCTATTCAGCATCTATTAAGATGATTCCGTAGTTTTTGTTTTTTCTCTATTAACATGGTATATTATATTAATTGATTTTTGAGTGTTTAATCAACGTTGCTTTCTTGTTCATGGTGTATAATTTTTGTTATGTGTTACTGGTCTCTATTTGCTAGTATTTTGTTGAAGATTTTTGAATCCATGTTTATAAAAGATATTGGTGTGTAGTTTTGGGGTTTCTTTTGGTGTGTGTGTTTTTGTTTGCTAGGATTTTGTTGAAGATTTTTGAATTCGTATTTATAAAAGGTAATGGTATGTAGTTTTTAGTGTGTGTGTGTGTGTGTGTGTGTGTGTGTGTGTGTGTGGTGTCTTTGTCTAGTTTTGGTATCAGAGTAATATTGACTTCTGCTTTAAAGTGTAAGTTTTATTATTATTCTGATATAGTAAAGCCAGCGGATTAGAAGGTGGCTACCTTTGAAAACACAGTTTATGATTTACAGCTCCCCAGAGGAGGGCCATCAGGGAAGAGCCACACGGGAGGCAGAGGGCGCAGTGAGGAAAATGGGGGTCAGACACTGGTTAGGGCCGATAGTCATCTCATGTTGGTCCTCATCACAGGGCTCTTTCCTCTCAAGCTCCAGGCATTGTTTTCTGTCTGTGTCTCTCACTTTCTTCCTTAGGGGAGAAGGCGGAGAAGGCCCCGTCCTAGATCTTCCCAATGCTCAGTCTTTCCCTTGTGCTCAGCTCACCCCTAGCTCCAGGACCTCCTAGAGTAGGAGTAGAGCTAGGTTGGGAGAAGAGAGGAAGTCAGATGTGTTCAGTCCCATGTTATTCTAGGCTCCTTCCTACCTGACACAATCTCTTTAGGTGGGCAATTTTTGCGGTAATTCCTAGTCAAATAATGACTTGTAGTAGTTTTTCTTCCTTTTCTGTCATCTAGAAACCAGCTTTACCAAAGCAGGCAAAGTCTGTGATCTATATTCTCTCAGTTCTCCCTGGCAAAGAATAAGGGCCGACCTTGTATTGGGGGTGGGAATTTTGAGATATTTGAGGATTATCGATTGTGCTGTTTCAAATGGTGTCACTCACTCTCCAGTTTTAGAAACTGGATTTTGTGAAAATCCAGTAGAAATGATGCTTCTAAGAAGATCTAATTAAAATATTATAAATATCTAGAAGACCCAAAATACTTTGAGGACCTTAAGAGGTTCTGGGATTCTAGGGGAGGAACCAGTAGCTAATCACTTAAATAACATCACTAGGCACCCAAAAGATCCTTTCAGAATTGTCTGACTTGTACAAATCAGCCTCAGTCTTCTAATGTATGATGTTTTGAGACTATTTAATATAGCAGTATATTTCTTATTACTATTGTGGGTTTTTTAGCATTAAATTTATGGATAGTTTCCCAAGAAATGATGAATTTTATAAACAAGAGTTTATTTGACCACAAGGATTTTTTATTTTATTTTTAAAATTTATTTATTTTTATTGTTCAAACACATTTGTCTCCATTTTCCTGCCACCACTTTTCCCTGCCCCTCTCCCACCTACACCTCCCACCCTCAATCCTTCCCCACTTTGGCTTTGTCCATGGGTTCTTTATACATGTTCCTTGATTTGACCCTTCCCCTTCTTTCCCCTATTATCCTTCTCCCTCTTTCCCTCTCATTACTATCAGTTTGTTTTTTCTTTCAATGTTGCTGGTTATATTGTTCTTGCTTGTTTGTTTTGTTGATTAGGTTCCACTTATAGGTGAGATCATATGGTATTTGTCTTTCACCCCCTGGTTTATTTTGCTTAGCATAATGCTCTCCAGTTCCATCCATGCTGTCACAAAGGGTAGTAGCTCATTCTTTTTTTCTGCTGCATAGTATTTCATTGTGCAAATGTACCATAGTTTTTTGATCCACTCATTTATTGATGGGCACTTAGGTTACTTCCAGCACTTGGCTATTGTAAATTGTGCTTCTATGAACATTAGGGTGCATAGGTTCTTTTGAATTGGTGTTTTGGGATTCTTAGGATATAATCCCAGCAGTGGAATCATTAGGTCAAAGGGCAGTTCCATTTCTAGCTTTTTGAGGAAATTCCAAACTGTTTTCCATAGTGGCTGCACCAGTCTGCATTCCCACCAACAGTGCACTAGGGTTCCCTTTTCTCCACAAGTTCGCCAGCGCCCGTTGTTTGTTGACTTGTATAAACAGGAATTAATTTTTAAACTAACCACGGATATCCCTGATTCTTTCAAAATTTTGTGTCTTACAGACCTGTGTTTAAAGGATGAAAAAAGCTCATTTAATCATCTTAGTTGTCATAGAAAAATGAAAGATGAATTCACTCTTAGCACAATTAAGGTAAGTTTTAAAATGTTTTCAAATCATAGTAAATCAGTTACCAAGATGCCCATGGTTTGGCCACTGACAGGACGACCCTTCGGGCTGTGTGTGCCACTAGGAGACCAAGCCTACGCTTGGGTTGGGCTGAGATGGAGTCACTCCCCATGAGAAAAGTCAGGCACCCAGAGGTGTCAGACTTTGACTCTACAACCCAGTTGGGTGCTGTAGGATGTATGATTTCTTTATTTGATAGGATTTCAGTATTCCATACCCTGTTTCTCATTTCCTAATATTAATAGTGATGACAACAGCAACAAAAACAGATGCCATTTATTTTCAGTGCTTACCACATGGCAGGCACTATGCATGATTATTTTCACAGGCCTTTGATGTAGGTATTAATCATTTCTGAACTATGTTGTGCTGAACCATGAGAAATTTGAAGCTTAGACAGTAAGAAATTCACTAACATTATGCGGCTAATAAAATACAGATCATGCCCTCAACCATCATACAAATTGGCCTAGAACTTATATAATATTTACTTCTCTGTACAAACAAGACTTTAGAGGCCCGTTCCTCGAAAGACTGGTGGGTCCCTTTCTATTGTGCCATGTCAGGTTGCGACTGCCTATTGAAGGCCCACTGTAAAATCTCATTCTCTTCACGTTACCCATTAGGTGGTCATAGGTAACTTGAAAGGCAGTAGATCCTTATTAGTCACAGATTCAGTATTTGCTAATTTGCCAATGCTAAAATTTATTTATAACCCCAAGTCAATATTTATGGCTCTTTTGTGGTCATTTGTGGCTGTGGCAGAGCATAGGAAAATATGAATTGCCCAGCACACACATTCCCAGTTGGTTGAACAAGGCAACGCTTGGAGTTTTTGTTTCTACTTTCATACTATAAACAAGTGTCCTTTTCATGGTCTATTTACTGCCACATTTAAAAAAAAATGTTGTGCTTTTTTTGTTGCTGATTTCATGATGACGTACAACTCTAGTGCTAAAGCACTGTTTAGTGTTTCTAAGTGCCAGCGGGTTGTGACGTGCCTGATGGGGAAAATAAGTTGGTTCGTTGAGTTGCAGTCAGGCCTTAGTTATAGAGCTATTGGCAGTGAGTTCAATATTAAGGAATCTATAATATATATATTAAACAATATGTTTTTAAACTGAAACACATTAACGAGGTTATACATTGATCAGTTGACAAAAATACTGTGACCAGAGGCTCCCAGGAACATATTCCTGTCCTTCTCCTAGGAACTATGGTTTGGTATTTGCTAAATCAGTGTCCGCAGCAACTTTCTTGAACATAACTGCTATAAGTAAGCATGGGTGAGCATCGGCTGTGCATGCACTAAAGGGTAACTGTCCTACATGTTTACTCTTGCCTTTACTTTCCTTTCATTCTCTGTTGTGTTTTTGCTGTTCACTGACGATGATCAAATTTCCTTTAATGGTCTTCATTTGTCATTATTTTCAGTAGGGAAAAATACATGATGGATAAGAAGGAGACATTATTTGTATTATTTCTGAATTTATGTGATTGTGTGGTCTTCTTTTAATAGTCAATTTTACTGACAGAGGCTGAAGACAAGCTAAATTGCCTTGTGTCAGAGACGGTGCCCCCAGGCCACAGGAGCCTCTCCCAGTGTCCTGCGGGCCAGCTGGAGATGGTGGTGCGGGCCAGGCTGCAGCTGGCTGCCGTCGCCCTGCAGCGGCACCGGGCTGCATACAGGTGGGTCTCCGGGCAGCATTTCCCCCTCACCCTAATTTGTTCAAGATGCCTGACTTTTATACATTTCGAGATTAATATAGCCTACTTATTTTTTATTATTCAAGGAAGTTTTAATACATTATTTTCCTTGAAACTACAGATTAGATTGTCTTTTTTAAACCATTTTAACTTTTTTTGTTAAACTGAAATTCCATTCAACTCTGTGCATTAGAGTTAGAATTTGGAAGGGGGGTTGATTTTTAGATGGTCATTCTCTTCGAAAAGGAGAAGCCCCCTGCCGCTTTTGCAAAGGGGCAATCAATTCAGCAGAAATCTCCGTTTGCTTTGATTGAAAACATACAATCATTTCATCCATGCGAGCCTTGACTGAAGGCCATTCCATGATTAACAACATCTAACTTTGATTTCATGCTAGAGACAGTGTAGGTTTTTGGAAATCTATACTTTTTGTGGCTTCTAAGCAGCGATGAAATCCATGAACTTTCTTGGCAGCAGTGACTCTCAGAGTGTGGTCTGCAGATCTCTAGGTGTGTCCCTGAGACCTTTACAGGGGTCTGTGAGGTCAAAACTATTTTTATAGTAAACCAACATGTCATTCGCCTTCTTCTTGTATTGTCGTTTGCATTGATGCTGCAAAAGCAACAAGGGTAACACTTCCGGCATCTCCCTGTGGATCAGAGCAGTGGCCACATTTCTAGTCATTACATACTTCCCTGCCACACACTTGCAATTTAAAAAAGCTTTAGTTTCACTTACAAATGCCTTTCACGAAGCAATAGGATTTGTTACATTTATAAATCCCTACCCTTGAATCTATTTTTAATATTCTGTGGGAATATTAAATGGGAAATACAACTAAAGCACTTATGTCCCATGTCAGAGTTTGATAGTTGTCTTGAGAAAGGGCACACATGTGATTGACTTGAGAGACAAACAAGCTGTTTGTTTTTGTTTTTTTTTTTTATGGAATACCATTTTTATCTGAAAAAAAACCCCCTGCAAAATATGATTATTCACACTTGAATATTTGACAGGCATTTTATTGAAAATGAGCAAAATGGACATGTCACGTCTAGGAAAACAGCTACTGGTATTGGTTACCAGTCATAACATCTAACTTTTCATGAGAAAATTAGAATTTTGGAACATTTGTGTTTGCCACCATGAACTTGACAGTTTACTAATGTTCATTTTTCTGTTGGGATTGGTAGTAATATTAACAAGCATCATTTTCAAAATCATGTAATGAAATGTTTCAACATTAAGGCAATCTACATAAACACGGGGAGCTAATATTTTCCAAATGGCCAGTTCATGATGTTCCAAGATCCTGGTTAACAAGATAGACCAACAGTCTTCATTCATATAAGAGAGAAGGGAAAGCTCATTTGTGTATGGTATTAGATTCCACATTGCAGCAGACTTTTAAGAAACTAGCACTTGTCACATTTTGGTGTAGTCACAAAGAATGATATTCACAATTATTTGAAGAAGCTATTAAAATACTCCTCCCATTTCTAACACCTCTCTGTGTGAGGCCTAGTCTTCTTCATATACTTTAGCCAAAACACTATGTCACAACAGACTGAATGTAGAAGCAGATATGAAAGTCTCCTATTAAACAGATTTTCACTTAAACCAGACATTAAGGAAATTTGCAAAATGCAAACAATGGCATTATTCTTGCTAATTTTTTTGATGTTTTGGAAAATATAGGTGTTTTCAATTAAAATGCATTATTAGCATATCATGGGTTTATTGTTTTTATTTTAAAACAAATAAATAAATACGAAGTTAAACATTTCTCAGCTCAAGTTCTAATGTGATAAATATTGATGGAGTTCTTTGGGATTCTTAATAATTTTTAAGGGTATAAGTGAGTGCTTAGATTTTGAAAAACTTGCAAACTACCTGTTTAGTGTATTGTCACATTTATAGCTATCTTTAAGAATACAAGGGTAGTTAATGGATGGTAAATAGGCTTAGCATAATAATATTCCATTTTCTTTATTGAAGTTTGAAGAGTGAAGGAACTTTTACTATATGATTTCCTATAGAAAATATATGATGTGGACATATTTAAATATGTATATTTAGATGTTTATGACAATAAAATATATAACTATATGATTTCCTATTGAAGAATATAGAAAACATAGAACTCTTTTCTCTAACAGTACCTCACACAGCAACGGCAGCCCCAGAAAATGCTTTTTATTATTTTGTCACACACCTTAATTCTTTTCCTAGCTCTCTGCATGTCTTACACCCTTTTGGTATGGAGGGATGTAAGTTATTCTTATTTTTTAGGGAAGAAGGAAGCTAGAAACTAAAAATTACAAAATGTCCATAGAAAGGAGTGTGACAGTAGAACTTTAATTTGAAGACCAGAGAGACATATGCAAATAACATGCAAGTATATCCAAATCACTCCTATTTTAACATGAACCTGGTCCTTGGGACAAAATCTGAGACAACTTTGATGTTATTGCCTTTTTGCAGCAGAGTTGTCATTTGGGGAAGCCTGCTGTCAGGATGAATGAGTTTCTCTCAGATGAACTTTACCTCCCACGAGCTGCTGTTTGGGAGCTGCTGAAAGTGTTGGACACTCTCTTTCTCAAATGATGGTTAGCTTGACATTTCATGATACTTCTAATAAAATTACCTGTCAAGGAAATTGAAAGACACATTCCCTGGGGTGACGGGTAAAGTGAGGCGCATGGATTTTAGAACAAACTGACCATTTTGTCATGAATATTAATAAGAAATAAATGGGATCAAAGTTATTCAAACTATATCTCTACTTCTTTTAGGGCTGCCTCTCTCAGAATCCTGTCTTTACAAAAGAAAAGTGTTCCTTTCTATTCTCCTTTCTATTTCATTTATTGTCTAAATGGGATAACATCTGAGCCTTTTAATTTTGTGTCAGAATGAAACTCCCTTCCTTTGGGATTTTAGATCATTGATAGTGAGTAATCCTCCCACGCTTCATCTCTCGAGTGGAGAGGAGAAACTAGGAATTTTCCATTTAGCAACTAAGTGGTACCAGGTGGGTTAGTATATACTAATACCGGGTGGATTATTACATACTAGTATGTTTATATTTTATTTATTAAATTTTAGGGCTGGCAAGATTCCAAACCTCCTACCTCACCTCTCTTGAAATTAATATTTTGGGCTTCAGAATCAGAAGGATGGTACGAGCACTACATTTCCCCCCAGGGTCCTCTCTAGCCATCCGGGGCTAGCCTCTGAAGCTACCCAGGAAACGCGGTGCCATAGAAACGCGTGTGGGGAGGGGGAATTTTTATACCTTTATACATCATGAATAAGTGTTACATTTTTCCTTGTTGTTTTCTTGTTTGTTTCTTTAGTTTTACTTTAAATAAAAAACAGTAAGTTTATACAACCAGAAACAATACCGTGGCCTACAAATTTCTATATCATTTTAATGACTTGGTAGAATCTGGGGAATTTAAAATTCGATAATTGCACGAAGTTTTCCATTCTGGTTAACAGCTCAGAAAAAGATCAATTTAGTTTCCTCTCCCCAACCCTCCTGGCTAACTCAATATACTAATGATAGCAGCTAGCATGCACTAAGTGCCGTCTATTTGCCACGCGCTCCTGTTTTCTGAGCACACCCCACTCACTAGAATTTCAGTTCCATGAGGGCCGGGACTGTATCCACAGACCTCAGAAATGTTCCTGGCTCATAGCAGGTGCTCAACACATATATTTTTTTTAGCAAGTGGAAGAATCAGTATCTCACTCAGTCCTTAAAATGATCCCACTTTAATACTCTGGGATCATACAAACAGACTATACCCTCTCCCAAGCAGGCATGAGCACTGACAAAGCTGATCACATACTAGGCCAGAAGCCTCAGTAACTGGCCCAAATGTGGGGGTGCACTGGTGTCGTGACCTAACCTACACCTTGATGAGGTTGCTGTGGCTGCTGTCTGGAGGCCAGGCCTGCAGGGCCCGAGCCATAGCGGGAGGCCGGTCAGGAAGCGGCTCCGGCCGCCCAGCCTGGAGATCATGGCCGCCTGGAGTGAGGCGTTAGCCATGGAGGAGGTGAAGCGAGGAGCTGCTGGCTGGTGCCCATATTTCGCAGTTGGAGCTGACAGAGCTTGTCGATGGCTTGAACAGAGTGTGAGTCCAAGAGGCAGCAGTGATGATCCTGGGCTCTGCCTGGGGGAGAAGGCAGAGAAGAAGACAGCATTTGGTGGAGGAGGCGGAAGCAAGGGGAGCTGCTTTTAACCTATTCTATCAGTTTTCCAGGGCGGCCATAACAAAGGACCCAAAACTGGGCAACTTAAAACAACAGGATTTTATCGTTTCACAGTTCTGGAGGCTGGGAGTGCAAAATCAAGGGGTCAGCAGGGCTGTGTTCTTTCTGACAGCTCCAGGTGGGCGGAGTCCTGCCTTGCTTTTCCTAGTTTCTGGTGTTTGCTGACAATCCTTGGTGTCCCTTGGCTTGTGGATGCATCACCCCAGGCACGTGGCTGTGTCCTCCCTGTGTGTCTTCACATCGCCTTCCCTCTGTGGATGTTTGTCTCTGCCCCAATTTTCCCTTGTCCTAGGGACACCAGTCAAATTGGAATAGGGTCTACCCTAATGACTTCATTTTAACTTGATTTCCTCAGATCCCTATTCTGAGGTCCCAAGGTTTAGGATTCAACATACCTTTTTGGTGTGACACATTCAACCTGTAACACCTGTTAAATGTGATTGTCAATTAACTATTCAAATGGAGATACCAACTTGGGAATTTGGTAGATGGGTATATTGTCCATTGGGCTTTCACCCAATCTTCCCACGTTATAAATAACACTGTGATAAGAATCTTCAGGTGTGTAGATTGTTCTTTTTTAGGATAGATTTTCAAAAGAAGGCTATATATATATATATATATATATATATATATACACACACACACACACAAATGCATACATATGTGTATATATAATATTTTTAAAAAGTGTGATGTCAATTATAAATTTATTATTCAGAGGTAGAGAGTGTGATGGCCTAGAGTGAAGACACATTTATGTATAGAGTGACAGCAAATAAGAATTCATGTTTTCTGGCTTCTATATTCTTAATTTAGTACATTCCCCTCTGGCTAGACACTAAGCAAGAATTTAGCTTAATAGTTTCTAAGTATGTAGCATTAAGTAACAATATTATAACCTCAAAAGGCTGGAGAACCATATTCTGTTTTATATAAAAGGAGTATGTGCTCATTTTATTAGTGATATTGTCAGTAAATTTTGTTTTAAACCTTGGAAACTTTAATTTATTTATTATTTGTATTTACTCACTTTCATTTAAAAATATTTTTTAGGTTCTATCATGTCCCAGCCACTAGATGCTGGGTTTTAACAGGGAATAAGACAAATTAGCTGTAGAGAAATTTATAGTCAATTAAATAGTGTGATGAATACTACCCTCTGGTTAAGACTGGGGTAATTTTAAGGTGCATAGAAGGGGCGCCTAACAGCTTTGGGGCTGGAGAAGGAATGGGAATGTTTTTTGGAGGAAAGCCTTAGGAAATAACATACAAATGCCACAAGTGTAATACTAATAACACTTAAAATATATTCTCTATTTTAGTGCTGCAATTGTATTTTCCACACTTAAACTTCTCCAGGATTCGAAACTTTTTAAAAAGAAAGTAGTAGAAGATGACACAGAGAGTTCCATCTCTCCAGGAGCTTCTGTATGTATGAATTTAATATTTATTATGAATATTTAATATTTATCCTGAATATTTATCATGAATATTTAATATTCATGACTATTGGCATCTAGAAAATCATCTAATTAATCAGTTAGATGAAACAAAGGAGTAAAGTAGAAAAAACATTGAATTCAAAGTATAAAGACCTGTATTTAAGCCCTGTTTGTGCAACTAATTGGTATACTTTGAGCAAGCCCCTTAAACTTGTGTAAAAAAATTTAAATTTAAATCTCATTTGCAAACTTATGGAATTGGATGTAATAATGACTAAAGTCCCGCTGAACGTATCAGTATAGAATTCTAGATCTGACCTCATGAGCACATAAAGTTGTTTCTATTTATTTGCTCTTCATTTCATTTTTAATCGTTACGTTAGCATCACCAGCATGACACCTGCGCTATGTCCTGCTTTGGATTTCTCATAGTTACGTTCTTCCACACTGAAGCTCTCAAATCTGTTTGACAACTGGTGTTGCAAATTACTTGAAATTTTATTGGATTTTTGATAAGATCAAGTAATTTAGTAGTAAAGCATTGTTTGAAATATAAAGATTCATCACATAGAATCTCTGCTCATTATTTTAAATTTGACTAATAAAATTGCTAATATCTATTGTCATTATAAATAAGAAACCAATTGTCCTAAATAGAGACTCATTTCTTACTGTAATAAAAGTAACAAAAATTCTAAAAAGCAATCTAAATGCTGAAAACTGACTTAGAGGAATGGTTGTTAGTCAGGGGCCATTTTGCGCCCCTGAGACATTTGGCACCGTCTGGCGACATTGTGGTGGTCACAACTAGAGGGCGTGCTACTGTGCATAGAGGTCAGCGATGCTGCGCGACAGGCCATCCTGCACAGGACAGGCTACCGCAGCGGTGAGCTGCCACACCGTGTGAGCAGTGTCAAAGCTGAGAAACCCTGGTTTAGATTGTGACTTGGCTTTTCAGTAGTAACAGGAAATGTAGGCACTGATGGGCATCTTTTTCTGGGTTGCTAATCTAAACACTAGACTCTTCCACAGTTGCTGCACCCGCCCATTGTCGTCAGCATCCCGCCCCCAGGCCTCTGATCACTTCTTACTGAGTTTCCAGGAACAGCCCACCCTCCTTTCTGTACCTCTCACCTGTCTCTCCAGATTCCAGCCCCCTTCCAGGCCCAGTAGCTGCTCCTTGATAGCAGGTGCTACTAATTGCTGGGGGCTGATGCGCTGTCAGGGATGCAAAGCAGGAGAGCCCTAGAACAAACAGGCATTTGTCTAAATGACTTTGAAGTTCCCACGTGTCTAAATACGATTGATCGCTGCCACTCCCCCAAGAAAAAGCTCTCTTTGCACCTCCCTTCCACGAGCTCTGGACATTGGTTACCCTTGTTAAGGGGGTAATATGTTTGAGATGTGAGCAGAATACAGCAAAGAAACACAAGGGATTAAGACTGTGGGATCTAAATTCAGAAGGGCAAGTTTGAATCCCACCTTTGCCAAAATATGATGAATTTTAAGCAAATAGTTAATCTTTCCGGGCACATGATGAGCACTTGATAAATATTAGCCAGTATTATTTATTATTTTTCAGTCTTTAAGATGGTGCTTACAAAGTTTTTGAGGACATGGAATCTGCTGAAAATATAATTTGCAATAAATAATCAGACTGCAAAAATTTGTTTCAACAATGGGTATAGAGAGGAAAAAAAACGCTGAAAAGCAGTATATCAAAATATTAATAGAGGATTGTGGGATTATGGGTGCTCTTATTTGTTTGTTTCCTTTGTGTATTTTTTATGTTTTATAGAATATGCAAGAATAATTTCTAAACTGAAAATTTAATACTATTAAATCATATTTGATACTTCTTTTAACTTATATCACATTAAGCATTAGGCTAGAACTTTTACATTATAAAATGTGAAGATAACCATAATTTTAATTTGTCTAGGTCACTGAAAATAAAGACGATAATGAATTTTTAGATCCCATTTCCCTAAATTCTCGAGAATATTTCAACATTCATCTGTGGTTGAGGTGCTGCTTGGCATTGGTGACTGCATTTGTCGCACAGATTCGTGGCATTGGGATTGTGAAAGGTAAAAATGTCCTATTTTCTTAATCAAAATTTTTATTAAAATGATTTCAGGTAGGTAACAGAGATATTACTGGGATATAGCTTATTATAACATTGACATGGTATAGCTCTCTAGCTTAATTTGTTTCCAGAATAAAAAATTCAGGTTATTAAATAGAATAATCATTTTCAACAGTCTCTTATATCACAATGGCATATGTTACGGATGTATGCGAAGCAGGCAAGGAAATTTCAAAATATTAGTGCACAGGTCTTTCTGTCCTCTAGAAAGGCAGCATAGAGTAAGGGGTCCAGAGCACAGACTCTGGAACCAGCTGCCTTGGGTTCAAATGTTCCTACTACCATTTTCTTGCTGTGTGATCTTGGCCAAACCTCTTAATCCCCCTATGCCTAATTTCCTCCTCTGTAAAATGGAGATAGCTGTGCCTGTTTCATACAATTATTGCTAAAATTAAATAAGTTAAATTTATAAAGTTCTTAGATCACTGGTTGGCTCATATGAATGTTAGTTCTTATAGTGATTAATAATTATCTACTTGTAAACCTATTTACCCATCCATGTCTATCAATCTCCCAAATTACATTATTTCATGCAATATTATTGTTACTTTTTCAGCATCTGGACACCCTAAAGTACGTCCCCCCAAATTAAAACATTTATTTCAGTGTTTCATGTACTCTCTTTGTTTTCTGTCTTTGTGTCTTCCTGTTCTTCTGTATTAGACAATATTCCTGTGATGAATGTGGAGCATATTATACATATATACTTTCTTACTTTCTCAGTGCCTTTTAAATAGCTACATTTGTTTATTTTAGAAAACGATATGACAGATTATGTTAGCCTCATCAATGAAGCGTGTGTGGAGGCAAAAAGTGCAGGGGACAAGGAGCTACAGGCTGAATTCTTGATGCAAGCTGTAATTATTGGCCTACAAGAGAAGCATTTAAAGGCAGACATCATAAAAAACCTTCAGGTACAAGGAAAACTTCATTCACATTGATATTTACCAAAGGATTCAGTTTAGAACAAAAGGAGAGAATTTTAAATTTCATCAGGTAGTGAATGCATAACAGTCACTATGGCTAGGTCTTATTTCAGTTAATTGCAAACAGTGCGATCACAAGGAATACTTTCATTTTAATAGGCCATAATACGTTTGCTTGAAGGAAGTGAGTTTATTTCTCCTCGATCTCATTTAACTCTGGTGAGAAGCTTGCTTTTGTTGGATGACTTAACAAAAGCAGAAAAATTCAAGGGAACTCTCTCTTCAAAAACAGAAAAATTAAATTTGTTGACTCAGTCTCACAACATTCTTATTGAACAGGTGAGAGTGCTTTTGTGTCCACAAGATTTAGAAACTTATTTTTTTGTTTTTTTCCCCTTATTCCAAACCACTTTAGCTAATTACAGTGTTTCATTTACAGATGCTAATTTTTGGAGAAACAATTGAATTTCCTTCATCTACCGCTGACTTTGCAAGTCCGTTACAGCCTTTGAAAAATGTCTATCTTCCTCATGTCATGTTATTGGCCAAAACAAAAATGAGAATTGGTAAGAACACTTAAACATACATTACACTCAAGCCATTGATGAAAAAAATTTAAGTCATTTTCAGGCATGCTATTATATGAGGACATTTATACGGGGCAATATTTATGCATACCCAAGCTTGATTTATTTAACAAATCGTTTTTGATCATTTACTGCATGCCAAATTCTGTGTGAGGACCTGGGAAGTTATTTTAGATTACAACAGATGTAATCCCTGCTCTTAGTGTGGGAGACAGAAATAAACAAGTAAACAAACCATGTAGGAATATACATCATATACATCATATTATAAATATTATATAAATAAATATTTTAATATTTATAAAATTTAATCAAATAAATATTGTATAGAATAAAATGTGTTTTTGATAACAATTAGGAAATCAGCTAGAATATAGAAAGTAAATACATGAGAATGAATTAAATACACATATGTAATTATACATCGTTAGTGTTATAGAAGGTGTGGATAAGATCTGTTGATAAAGAACAAGGAAGAGAGGGTTGCCTATTGCATCACTAAGTGCATTGTAGAGGCAGAGGGAGCAGAGAGTCATAGCCTCTTAGGTCAGGACAAGCTTGGCATGTTCTGGAGCCACAAGGAGACAAGTCCAGCCAGAGCAGAGTGGGATAGGGCAGCCCAATGGGAAGAGGTGAATTGGGGATTGTTTAGGTTTCAAAATATTAGTTACCCTGGCTGCAGGGTAAGGAATAGATTGGAGGGTCAACGGAAGCCAAACAAGAGCAGAACTGATTGGAGTAGGTGGACCAGTAAGCGGAAGGCTTACAGCTCCTCAGAAACCAAGGAGGAACTCTCTCCAGGATACCTCTCTGACCTTTGACCCATGGCTGCCTGCCTCTAGCTCCCAGGCTCCTCTCCAGCTCAGAGGACAGAATCTTGCACAAGCTCTTAGTTCTAACTGTATTTAACCATGCCGTTTTATTTTCTGTATTTCTGATGCTTTGACACCTGGTGCCTTACTGACTAGGGAGAAACTTCCTCTCTCAGAATTAGCCAGTTCCTAAAGATTAGCAAACCGCTTTCCATTGAACATGTCATTCATGGGCAGACCAACCATTCTAGAGCTTTAACAGCTCCTTTGTTGTCCGTTGCTGGGCTCTTACACTCTGGGCCACTGTAACCCTTCCCCAGACACCCTAGGGACAGCTGTCGGACACTAGCAGAGCCCACTGAAATTATTTTAACTAGCCAACCCTAAACCTGCTTAGCCTGTTTACCCTTCCCCCACCCATTCCTTCCCATGAAAACCATAGCAAAGGTTCTTGTCCACAGTTCCCCTTGTTTGTGCTACCTCCTCACCCACCGTGGAGCTTCCCCATGTGCCCTGGCATGGCGTGCTGGGCCTCTTCCTTTTGAGAACAGTCACAAACTATCTTTTCAATGGCAATCATCCCCTGACCTAGTATCCTCATCCTGCCTGAATAATAATAAAATCTACATTTTAAAACATTACCCCTGCTTCTTGGGACCCCTTTGCCTCCCATGGCAGCTGGTGCTCAGCTCAGGAGAAGTGGGTGGTTGGACTGGAAAGAAGCAGGGAGGGCGGCAGAGGCGTGCCCGAGCGGTCACCTACCCTGGCCTTCTCCCTGTCTCCCTCTGCTCTTCCCCCTCATCATTATTATTCACCACAAGACCCGAGGGTTACGACTTTAGGCAAATCGCTTCACCTCTATATTGTTGAGTTTCCTTATTTATGAATTTAGACTGGCCTCTAGAATTCCTTCCAGCAATCTGTAATAAAATAGCTCATGAGAGCTATTTTTCTGCATTTTTAGTTCACAATATGTTATATTATCGGTATATTTGATTTCTACAAGAGCTTAAAGTACAGATTGTGCTAAATTGTACAGATTTTGTTACATCAAATGTATTCTCTGCTTTCCTGCTTTAGTAATCTTGAAGATGTGTCACTACTCAGTAGCAATACTGCTGCTGTTTCTTAGACTCATTTGAAGCAGAACAGCTTGCTTTCTGTTATATTATATTAAACACAGACTTTAAAAAACAAAACCAAAAGCAGCTTTTCTGTCAAAACAATGTCAGCTTCACGACTTTTTTTTCACAGAGTTGATGTTTATTGGAAAAAGGAGCACTTCAATATTATGAAGCGTAAAGTCATCTGACTTAATGCTTTCTTGACAGTTTGCCTTTATAGTGATAGCATTGATTGCATTGCAAGAATAGAGACACTTAAAAATTATCTTTTTTCTTGCAAAAGCCTCGCACAGAAAAAGGCATTTTGAGATTATTATTATAAAACCTTGAGTTTTCTTATTAGATAAAAAATCAATTAACCGGTTTTATAACAGGAGTGAAGAAAGTTGCCAGAAGGGTGCTTGGGAGTGGGAATACAATGGAGGCCTAGCCAGTCGCCCTTTGCCCTCAAAGAGCCTATTGTGTCATTAGAGAGAGAGAGTTTTTTCCTTATTTTAACAAAAATCTAGGAGGTAATTTAAGTATTATTATATATCAGCCCTATGTTCTATAGTACTATTTTATATATGGTATATGGCATGCATATATGGTATATATGTTTAAGTGCCTTGATGAAATGAAGATACTTGGTATTTTTGTCTCATATTAATAAACAGTGTTCAAGTATAATTTGAAACAATGGTGAAACATATAAAAATGGGAGATATATTGAAATATGAGGTTGCATTGGACAAATGGTATTTGCATATCCTTCTTGCCTGGGATTTCTAATCACACTCAGTAATCATTGGGGTTAAGAGTATAGACTCACCATGACTGATGTGGCTCAGTTGGTTGGGCATTGACCCGCAAAGTGAAATATCATTGGTTCAATTCCCAGTCAAGACGCATGCCTGGGTTGCAGATTTGGTCCCTGGTTGGGGTGCGAGGTATGGGGAGCAAAGGAGAGGCAACTGCTCATTGTTTCTCACATTGATGCATGTCTCACTCCCTTTCTCCCTCCCTTCTTCTCTCTCTCTAAAAAAAAAGAGAGAGAGAGAGAGAGAGAGTATAGACTCCAGTGAAAGAATAGAATTCTGGTCTAATTTCCACGAGCAAGCCATTTAACTTCTCTGTTGTTTCAGTTTCCTTTTCCATAAGATATGGATAAGAAAAGTATGAACCAGTCTCACCAACTTGTTGTGGGGTGAAGTGAGTGGAATGTATAACAAGTGTAGAAGGGCATCTCGTTTCTTCTGAGAGCTTTGTCAGTGTCCGCCGTTCTCACTGTCCATGCCTGGCCTCCTTACTGCCTTTGGAGCCCTGGGAGCTCCTTGGTTTCCCAGCTCCATGTGCCCAGCAGTGCGCTTCCATCCTGTATCATCCAAAGTAAGGGCTTGGTAACTTCCTCCTGGGGGAGAGAGAGGGAGAGAGACACACTTTTCCACCACTCTGTGGTTTGTATAATACATTCTTAAACTAAAAATTTACAACACATCTGAGGTTTCTTGAAAGCCCTTGGTAGGGTATAGCATCCTGCAGTTGAAAATTTTCAGAACCTGAAGGGAACTCAAATTTTTCTACTGCCGCTGCCTCATTTTTCAGAGGAAGACACTCAAGGCCCAGAGGCACATAGGGACTTGTTCAAAGCCTCAAATGACGTGGTAACACCAATGACTGGACCAAACCAGCAATTTACCTGGAACACAGCAACTGTTTCATTCTACAGTCCTATGTTGTCTTTCTTCTTATATCTCTCTATTGTGTGTGCCTTGTGAACTATTGTAATCTGCCTTGTGAACGTAGTGTTTCCTCCAGTTGCCTTCTACTCTTTATCCCAATATTCTTCTTCTTTAAAATTACCAAAGACAAGGTGGTCATCAGCCACATCCTCTGAGAAGGCTTCCCTGACCTTTCCCAGGCTGGGCCAGTGTTATTGGACTAAAGGGACCCATTTACCTGCATGCATAAAGCCTAATCTAACAGGAACAGGAACTGCCACAAAGAAAATAAGGGCTTAATAGTTGAGGAAATGGTGCCAAGCCCAGAGATACGGGTAAGCTAGTATTCAAGGGCCTGGCTCCCTGATGGCTTCTAGGGGATGTGTTGTATAGCTCTAAGGGAGTTAGGGTCATGGTCTCTACTGATTGATTGGTGCTAAGGTAGAGGGTAAGTTGATCACCACATCTGGTCCTCAGGTTAGCCATGGTGTTGCTTTGTCTGGTTTTGCAAAGACATTGTTGGTAGGGTCATTCCATTTTTCTGGGTCTGGAGCCTAGCCAGATTTTATCTTTAGTTTGATTGAAGCTCTGTCTCTGTGATCAATAGATCTGTGGCTTTTTTCCTAAGATTGTTTAATGCTGATCAGGGTCTCATTGTCCTGAGGGCTTAATGGTTAAGGAAGTAGATGTGCAGAGGAGAGGGAGGCAGGTGAGTCATGGTGCTGGATGGGGCCAATTTGAATCAATAGGAAAAGAGAAAAGGTCATGTTAAAGAAATGGCATTTCTGCACAGTTATACCTGCCCTCCTGTAAACTGCTACCACAGAGCCCTTGCTTTCCCTGCTACACAATTGACCACACAGTATTTTTATCACCTATCTGGATGTTAGCATTCCCCATTAAACATTAGGCGCTGTGATATCTCTCTTAAGGAGCTCTGCTGCATCATAGAGTTTAGGGCGTGGGTCCTGGAGTGAGACTCCTTAGGCTGAAATCACAGCGCTGCTACTTACTATTTGTGTGACTTCGGCAAGTTACTTAAACTCCACTGTCCTGTGGCTTATTCCTCTGTCAAATGGCATCCAGCTGGAGTTAGCCAGATTATTTCAGGTAATGCTTATTAAGTACTGGGGATGATGCCTGACATGTAGGAAACACTTAATAACCCTTAGCTCTAAATCTTCTCTTTGCTCATTTTTATCCAGTGCCTAAGCACTCAGAAAACATTTTTTGAATAAATGTCTGTCTGTCTTTGAGGCCACACAGATTAAATCTAGTGCCTCTTCCATACAGCTACCCTTCATTATGTTAAGTGATGATGTGACCACACAGAAGTGTAGCATGTGGCCCTTGTCCATATGGGTTTACTGTCTAGTTGGGATGACAAAATGTGAATAGCAAGCAGCCACTACATTGCTTAATGCAAGCAAAATTACTGTCTATTTATATATGCAAGTTTTATGGAAAACAGCATAAAACTTCCAGATGTTTCCCTATTACAACCTCATCTTAAGAATATGGAAGTTGTTCTGCAGAGCATTATCAAATTTTAGAACTGAGAGATCTGAAAGATGACCCTTTCTTTTAAAAATGAGAATGATTGAAATTTATCAAAAATAAAGTTTTAAAGGACTATTGTTATAATTCATTGAAATATTTGGGTATTGAGTTTCTTTAAAAATTGTCTTAGATGCTAAAAACTAAAGACCACAAGAGTTCTAAGTAGGTGCCTTACTGTGAGAGAAGTCTAATAACTTGGAGGCTTATTATGAACACTCTATGTTTTATTGTTCCCTTCCTATCCAACTCTCCCTCTCTCTTTAGGACATACAATGGCCAAGCAAGTATATTATAACAGTAAAAAGAAGGATTCTTCAAAGTGGTTACCTGCTCTTCAGCTTTTTGAAACAGCACTGAAGCTCTGTAAGGTATCAGCAACAGAGGAACATGAGGTAGAAGCCGAAATCCTCTTTCAGAAAGGTAAGATGTATTTAGGGTCTGAACTATGATAAAATTCGTGGAATTTTTTTTCCCTATTAAAAAGAGGCCTTTGAAAATCTAGTCAGTGAGTATAAAAAAATACAGATTTTTACAAAGGGCTTAGTGAGGGCAAACACATTGGTACAAACTCAGATTTAAATAAAGAGAGCACTACTCATTTTAAATTTATATATAGAAAAAAGTGTTCCTTAGGTTCTTTTATAATTACAGTTGCCCTTCCTTGGCTTTATGTTTGACTCAAAAATGTCTGCATCAGCCATTTAGCTATAAATAATGTTCCTTAAATAATGCTTAGAAGATACTTTTTTTCTGCGTTATTTCATTACTTAGCTAAGCATTTTAGATAATTTTTATAAAAGATACATACCCATTGAAATTAAATTGCTATAGCATACTTATATTTATAACTTCTACACAACACATATTTGCATAATACATTCATGGGATTTTATTGTGGCTGTTTTAGCCATGAGCAAAATGGAGATGGTGTGAGTGTTCTCATTTACAGAGCATCAGCAAGATGCCTGGCACTGTGGTCTAGGCTCCCCATCTCAAGTTGCTAATTCTTACAACAGCTCTACAATGTAGGCCTGGCCATTCCTGATTGATAGATGAGGAAAACACGGTATAGCCTGTTTAAGTGACTTTTCATAAATGGACAGCTCCTAAATGATAGTGCCCAGATGTGAACTTACCCCTGGTAGTTCTGTGCCCTGTCCACATGCAGCATGAAAACTGTGGATCCTTTTTATAGTAATTACAAGACTTCCCTTTCTGGACCTTTTTGTTACAAAAGCGTCTTTCCAGCACCTGCATTTGAAGACAGGCTCACCACGAAGTCTGGGGGCTGAGTGAGAACTAGAGCGTTTCCGTCATCCATGGTGGTTTTCAAGCATTGGCTGACTTTTAGGGCTTTCTGTTTTTAGAGATGTTTTCTATGATATCTGTGATAGAAGAGAGAGGAAAGAGGAAGGTGGATGTAGACAAAGAGAATGCGTGCCACAGGAAGAAGAGGAACTCGTGCAAAGCAGATGGAGAGAAGAGGGAGACGGTAGAAACTGTTGTGTCTGGAAAGCCAAAGGAGGCTTTGATGCAGTGTTGCCAACCAAAGGCCTGGGAGCCTTCAGACTCCTGGGGAGAGAAATAAAAGATCTTTCTGTGTTGGCTTCCCTTCCACAGCAAGAAACAACAGATGATTGAAAAGGACAGCACATCGAGTTTTCTGAGTCTCGAGCGTGAAATATTTGTTCTGAAGTTCTAAATGATAGAAAAAGGGAAAATCCATCTTTGTCTATCTTTTTCTTCTTTCAGGCAAAATAGAATGTCAAATATTGATGGAAGAGAAATATCCAAATTCATCACTTGAGAGTTTATGTGAAGCTATACAACTAAGCTTGAACCATGATCAAAACTCAGGGTAAAGAAATTATCTCTCTGCTGTTGTAATAATGTGTGTGTTTTGGTTTGGGCCCTGCATTCTGGTAGTTCATTGAATACCGTACAGTACTACCCACAGCAGGGCTAGTTCACTGGTGTCCATTGTCCAGCAGGTTTACTGAGTTCCTTTTCGAGCTTATTGCTCTTGGCTCTGACACAGGGTGTTTGCAGTGATGGCTGATGGTGGTGATCATCTTGGAGACATAGCTGGACTGTGAGTTCCTTCTAGTCTGTACTCAGAGGAATCTCCTGTCAGTCCTCGGGTTACAGGGGCCTCCACTGGAAGTGAAATTGTATCTAAAAAGGAATTATGTGGCTATTCATACTGGTCAGCAGGACCAGGGCCGGCCAACTTAATTCTGTATGAAAATTGCCTCAAGATTAAGAGTAAGCCACCATCATGACAACGGCACAGATCTAAATGGCCCCAGGTGATAGGCTGATAATGCACACACAGACCTAACCCATACCAAGTCACTGCTTTCTGCACAACTCTGTCTCTTTTGATATTAATTAGTGTAGGAGGGTAGAAAGAGGCTTAGTTTTTAAGGCAGGTCCCTCTAGACCTGACCTTCACTTCTTTACTGCGTTGTTTGCTGGAATATTCCAGGCTGATCTTGATGTTACTGAGAGTTGCCACAAGGACAAGGTAGAAGCTAACTCTCTTCAAGAGCTTCTACCTTCCTGAGGGAGGCAGATGCTAGAGTCTCCGCTGAAAGTGCTGTGAGAAGAGGGTGTGAGTTGGGGACAGATGCTGGTTTTGCCTATTTTTACCTTTCATCAGCTCAGAAATTATTGGGAAATAATGGAACATAATCATGAGTGGTGGAGCTATTTAATGAGTACACTGCTGTACCATTTTAGGTTGATAAGGGACTCCTACCTAGAGATTGCCCTATTATATTTACACATGAGAAAGGCAAAGAGCAAGATTTCTACAGCACCATCCACACCTAAGGTAAAAAAATTTATTAAAAATTTTAAGTTAATTACCTTTTGAGCTTGCTACTTTGGTAACACTGTGCTACTGAAATAATGAGACTAATTTTTCCATATGATTTACAGAAATTAATTCATTGCTTTATAGTCATACTTGTGTTTATATTCTCTCTCTAAATATTTTATTTAAAGCTCTGGGGATAAGTTTCATGTAGATATTTTTGTCTGTTGCAGTGTTATCCATGAAATATAGGTACATATAAATACTCTAAGCCATGAGTATTGAGCAGGAAGTTGCAGGAAATGAAATATTGCTTAATCAGATGGACAAGTTAGGTTTTCATTAGTGATGTGGCCAACAAACAGATCACCTGGTGTTGGAATCATTAATCCATTCATCACATACCTATTGATCACCTGCTTTGACACAGGTGGTATTCTGGAAAGTGATTAAGCCATGTCCAAACTAGACCCTGTCCTTGTTCTCACAGGCCCTCTGAGAGATTTTTCAGAAAATTTTGGTGACTAATCTCTAGTTTTTGGGACAGCATAAACATAATTTCAAACCATTAGGCATATAAGCTTTCAGTCCATTGAATTATTTATATGGTGGCTGCCTTTGATGAATAGCAGCTATTTTTTTTCCTATCAAAAATCTATGATTACATAGAGAAGTTACTGTTTGTGCTGTAATTATCATGTTTGTTTCCAGTAAGAGAAAACAAAAATTTTGCTTTCATAGCCAATGGCAATACAAATTATTAGAATGGTAAGATAATAATATATCACCTTTTTGGCCTTTACTAGAGAAGTGTTTATAATTAAGAGCTTGAATAAGTTAGGATTTGAATAAAAGGAATAGTATAATCCATACTATATGATCATTATTTTCGGTATATCTTGACACAGTATAAATATTTTAGCAGTTCTACAATTACTAGACACCCGAAAAGCAGCCAAAATAAACAACAAAAAAAATCATCCAAGCACATTCAGACCACTGAAATATAACATTTGAAATTTGTCTAAATATAATGTTTATCAACCCTTAAAAGAAAGCATTATGGTTTCACTTTTGTAGAATGCATATAGCAGAGTGACCACAGTGCTGGTTTTGATTTGAATCTGAGCTTCATGGCCTGCTATGCTATGATTGGAGCCTTTCTAAACTTAGTTTTTTCATCTGGTGAAATGATACTATGATACTTCCCTCTTAGACTGGCTAGGAGAATAATGTAATGGGCTTGGCACATAAAAGATACTCATGGGAACTGTTTTCATCACTATGTAATTTTAGTTAAACATCTACATTCTAATGTACTTTGTACTTAGTAGATATTCAATAATTATTTGTTAGCTAAGTTGAGTTGCCTTTCTTGAACATTCCTTTATTTATTCATTCATTAACCAAACACTAATTGAGTGTTTAGTATGCCAGTCATGTTACTTTCTTTCCCTAAGGAGCACAGAGTCTAGCAAGGAAGAGAAATAATTGTAGCACAATATAATGAGTACTATAATCAAGGTATGTCGAGGTAGGGAAGTGGAGCATTGTAGGGACTAATTTTGCTTTGGGGGGATGCTGGAGAAAGCTTCACAGATGAGATGAATTTTTGAAGGACCAGTAGAAGTTTTCCAAGTAGTTAAGTGGGAGAAAAATAGTCAAATAGAGAGATCATTAAGCACACATTTAAAGCATAGACTTATTGAGGAATAATTTACATCCATGAAATTGACCTGTTTTAAGAGTGCAGTTCACAGTTTAATAACTTTACAGAGTTGTGCAACTATCCCCACCATCCAGTTTTAGAACATTTTCATCATGCCAAAAAGATTCCCATTGCCCATCTGCAGTCATTCCCATTTCCACCTCTAGCCCCAGGTAACCACTAACCTATTTTCTGTCTCTATGAATTTGCCTCTTCTGGATATTTCATATAAATGGAGTCTGGTAATATATAGTCTTTTTTGCTTGCCTCTTTCACTTAGCGTTATGTTCATGAGGTTCACTCATGTAGCTTGTAACAGTAATTCATTCCTTTTTATTGCTGAGTCAAATTCCCTTGTATGGATGTACCACATTTTCTTTATCCATTTAACAATTGATGGACATATGAGTTGTTTCCACTTTTTTCGCTATCATGATTAATTCTTCTTTAAGCATTTGTATACAATATTTAATGTGGACATACATTTTTAACTCTCTTGGGTGTATACCTAAGAATGGAATTTCCAGGTCATATGCCAACTCTGTGTTTAGTCTTCTGACGATCTGTCACGTTTCTTTCCACAGCATCTGTGCCATTTTGTACTCCTACCATCAGTGTATGACACCACCAGTGTCTTTTCATGTTGTTATGGTGTTTTTAGAAACAAACAAGTTTTTAATTTAATGAAGTCCAATTTATCATTTTTTCCTTTTATATATTGTGCTTTTGGTGGCATGTCTAAGAACTCTTAGCCTAACACAAAATGTTGAAGATTTTTATCTGTTTTCTTCTAGAATTTTTATTGCTTTATCTTCTAAATTTGTCCAGGCTCTATTTTGAATAAATATTTGTGTAAAATATGAGTTAAGTATTTAAATTCATCCTTTTGCACATAGATCCAGTTATCCCAGCACCAATTGTTGAAAAGACTGTCGTTGCTTCACTGAATTGCCTTGGCACTTTTGTCAAAATTATTGACCATAAATGTAAATGTAGATCATAAATGTAGACGTCCACTACCATTCCATGGATCTATAATTTTACCTTTCCATGAATATCAACTGTGTTGGTTACTGTAGCTTTTAGTGAGTTTTGAAATGGGAAAGTACATATCCTCCAAATATGTTCCTCATTTTAAAATTGTTTTGTCTATTTTGAGTCCATTGTGTGTTCATATACATTTAGGATCTGCTTGTAAATTTCTGCAAAAAAAACTAAGTATTTTGGTAGGGATTATGTTGAATTTATAGATTAATTAGAGGCAATTGCCATTTTTAACAATATTCAATCTTCCAATTCATAATATGAACTGTCTCTTCATTTATTTAGATATTACATAATTTCTCTCGACAATGTTTTTCACTTTCCAGTGTACAAATCTTACATATTTTTTGTTATATTTTTCTTGTGAGTGGAATTTTTTCTTAATCTCATTCTCAAATTTGTTCATTGCTGGTTTGTAGAAATACAGTTCCTCCATGTGTATTGAGCTTTGTGTCCTGTGACTTTGCCAAACAAATTTATTAATTCTAGGTGTGTGTGTGCTCATGCATGCATCATTGGGTTTTTCTACATATAGGATTGTCTTCTGAAGACAAAGACAATTTTATTTCTTTACTTTCAACCTAAATGCATTTTATCTTTACTTTCAACCTAAATGCATTTTTTTCTTTTTCTTGCTTGTTGCATGGACTAGAATCTCTTATGCAATGTTGAGTACTTCCCCTGTCAAAAAATGCCCACCATATTAATTTTCTAGTCCAAATTTTTATATTCTGAGCTCAAGTTTGACCTCCTCAATAAAGCTTTCCTCTCAATTCAAAAGGAGTTTTTTTCTTTTTTGAATGTCTGTGTCACTAGTTGTTTGTATATTATAACAACTTAATGTTATTCTTTATTTTTCATTTAATACCCATTAGTCAGAATTTAAGTAGGTAAAATTTCCAAGCTTATATGGCCAGTAAACTGACAGGGCAACCCAAAGGCTGAGTAGTTTCATTGCAGCTAATGACTATGTCTTCACATCTTGGGACAGGGCTGTAGATAGTCCATAGGCAGATTCCTGCAGGCACCGTCTACCTCCAAGCTTAATGTTTGATCTGGGCCGGGCCACGCTTGTGCATTGCATTTCCTGCTCTGGCATCAGCGTTATTCTTTGCCTTTCCTTTTCTTTGGGAGTCCTGTGGCCAGCCATAAAAGAAAGGGTTTTTTTTTATATTGTTTGTTTTATTCTGCAGTTTTGTTGAAGATTAAAGAATTCTCAAAATATAAACATTGCAAAATTAGAACCAAGCAGTTCGACTAGATGGTGTTGTCGAGATTAGTTAAATTTTAAAAATTGACTATTAATACTTATGTTTAAAAATGTAAAACAGATTTTATGTTGCTGGTGTAGTTCTTTTCTTTCTCTTTATTTCTATAGCATTGATTTTTTTATGTTTAAAAACTGAACACACACATACACACACATTAAACCTACTTTCATTCAATGTTACTTTTTGCCATTCTGTGGAACTTTATGATAACATCATCCCTTTAATAGTTTCCTATTTAGAAAGATGGTAATAAGTACCTATCAAAAATCTTAAAGTAATATTCTTATTTCTGACATCATTACAAACTATATGTTTAATTTATAGACCTATTAAGATAGTAAATATCTCTTTAAGTAAAGTGAGTATTTTATTTAAAATGCCATTTGTGTTCATTTTGTTATTATTCAGATAATGCAAGTTCATTATAGAAAATTACAGAAAAAATGGTAAAAAATAATTCAATTGCCCTTAAAACCTGAAATAACACTTAATTTTGCTTGTACATGTAGGGAATATATGTGTGTGCATATCTTTTTAAAATTGAGATCATATTTTGCATCCTATTGTGTATACTTTTAACATCTTTTCATGTACATTTCATATTCTTAATGGGTACATAGCATTCTACTAAATTGTCATCTTCAGAAGATGAAACAATTTATCATGAAGCTTTGTGATATCTTTATATATTTTTATCATAAAACATTTGCCACCTGTTTTAGGCTTCTACCAGAAGATATAGTTCTGTTAAAGAACTAACAGTAAGTAGCTATGAAATGTGCACTTCGCTGGCCTGGACTGCGGTAAGAGCTGCTGCACAGGTTGGTGCCATCTTTAATCTTTTTTTTTATTGTAATATCTGTATTCTCCACCTATCAGCTATTAAGGCAGTATTATGCATTTGTACAAGAGAAGGGAAAATTTCATATCATTTGGGATTTGTGCCAATGATGTTTTTGGGGGAAGGTTAAAAATGCTTTTTATATGTGTAGTGTTTTTAATATCTATTAGCCAGACCTGGTTTTGTTTGTTTCAACTTTTCTTTAATGAAAATAATGGCAGATACACATATGCATGTTTTTGACATTTTGGCAAATGTCTGTCATAACTAGGTGAGGTAGCCTATTTAAACTGACTTGTACATTAATTAAATTGCCAACAGTTATCATTTCTTTGACTATGCTGTATTATCCATGTTAGGGATAACATTATTTTTTAGGTTGTCTTTATTTGTTCTTCCAATGTATATTGAATGTTATTTTATGAATATTTTCACATTGTTTACTTCATGGGTAATCTATGAATCAGAAAACTCACATTTGTGAATTCTAATTATGCATTAATTTAAGGTGAGTCAAGCCGTGCTGGCAATTAACCAACTTATTGGAAAGAAAAATACTAGAACTGATGAAGTTAGTCAAGCAGCATTACCTAACATTCCAGAATTTGCCACTGTGGACCTTTTGTCTTCATACACAGATTATTTGCTTGGTATGTTGGAATGTCTAGTCATTTTATAAAAACCTGATATATGTCACATATAATCAAGTGTCACAGGTTTAATTGTAGTGATTTGCTGGGTTTGGGCTTCGGGAGGATAATGGTTTGGGGAGCCTCTGGGAGAGGGTAGGGGTCTTAGGGCCTTCTGCCAAAACAAAGGGTTTCAAGATTTGAATGGGAGAGTCACACACATTCCGACTGTAACATAAAGGAAGCTATGGGATATGAAGCCTCTGCTCTAGAGGCAACCAGCAGAATCACAGAGCCTCTGCCGAAGTTTAAACCAGCGAAAGCGATACCTTGAAGCCTGTCTCCTGCACCACTTAGCATGGTTCCAACTTCAGGTGCTACACCAAGGCATTGAATTTGTGATACCAAAGTCCCATCCAGGGCCCCAGCTTCAGGAATCAGGGAAACACAATTTTTATCTCTATAACTTCTTCAATATAGGAAAGCACACTTGGAGGTTAGGATGAATGTTGATTGAACTAATTTGGTATATAAAATAATCCATTGATGTATTTTCCCTTAAAATACAAATAATAATATAATTGTACACACAACTAAGCTTCTTGCTCTTTTTTCTTTAACTTAATGTAAATATATCTATTGGCAATTATTTCAAATCAATACATAAAGTTCTTTGTATTGTTGTGTAATATTTCTTTATAAAGATATGACATAATTAGTTTTCCTTTGGTAGATATTTAGGTTGTTTTTATTCTTTTAATACAACTCTGCTATAGATAACCATATATATATATATAAAATTTATATATATATGAAATTTAAATGTATATAAATATACATAAATTTTGTACATAAGCAAGTACATTTATTGAGTCAGTTCCTGTAAGGGAAATTTCTGGACCAAAGGGTAGATTCACTTGTAATATTGATAAATTTTGCCAAATTCTATAAAGGTTATGCCAGCTTGTATTCCTGCCAACAGGTAATAAAAGCTCTATTTTTCCTACAGCCTTGCCGACATAGATACATTTAAAAAATCTTTGTCAGTATGGCAGGGGAAAGACTTCATTTTAATTTGCACATCTCACTAGAACTAAGGTTGAACATCTTTTGTGTGAACTTTCTTCTGTTTTTTTCTTTTTTTGCCTTTAAGTATGTTTGTAAGCCTTTTATTGTGGAAATTAACCCTTTAACTATGATATTTTTGCAAATCTATTTTTCTAATTTATCAGTTGTTATGTAACCTCTTTATGGTGGTTCAGTCCCATGAAGAAAGTTTTTACTTCTCTACAATATAAATTTTTAATCTTTTCTTTGATAACTTTTCGATTTATGTCATAGTTGGAAAGGCATTCTGAAATTCTAAGAAAAGATACTCTTCAGGAATTCATGGACAAATATGAAGTAACTTAGAATATTACCTGATTTTGAGAAATTGCAATAAGTGAAAGCAATCAAGCTGATCCTTGTACAGAGAACTCTAACCTTTGTGGATCATGAGGTTGTGATATTTACCTTTAGCAAGGGAAATATAGTCACACTGCAGTGAACAGTATTTCTGCATTAATAATAACTTCAGCATTATTTATTGGTTTTCAATAAAGAATAAATAGGGTCTACTGTGGATGCAGAACAGAAAGGAAATGTTACTGACTCTGCAAATAGGAAACCTGGCAAGTGGAAGGAACTGAAGGGGTGCAGATACGTTCCGTTCGATTACAAAGTAAGATAGCAAGAGATATTGTCTGTATTTGGTAGAACTAGAAAGAAAGCTTTTAGGACATTATTGATAGACTTACTGGCAAATGTTAGGGGAATTAAAAATGTTGTTATAAATATAAAAAGTTGAAAGTGAAAAGGAGTGGTTGTATGAGCTAATACCTCACTATCACAAAAGAAATTCAATAGATAATAGGTTCTAAAACTGATGATCCCGGGAAGTGCTATAAGGGAATTATTTTAAGATCCGGAACTAACCTCTGAAAGAAACAAAGTAGACATGATTAAAAGTGACTGCCTCTGGAGATAGGAATTTTATTTTTTGATCATGTAAATTATAACTTTGATCAAAATAAACAGGATATTAAAAGACTCATTATGTCAAATTGGATTATTTCCAGAAGTGCAACTGTAACTCAGCATTAGAGAATCTATTAAACTAAATCTCTGTATTACCAGATGAAAAGAGAATAATCAACTCAGAAAGCACAGAAAAATTTAATGAAATGTAGTAACCATTCATGATTTTAATACTAGGAGTTAAAGGTTTTCTTAATTTGAAAAAGTTAAAACAGGAAAATAAACTTCTGGACTTATTATACTCAGTATTCAAACACTATTTTCTTTAAAGGCAGGAGTAAGATTGCTATCACCACTTCTACTGAAAATTGTTCTGAAAGTTCTACCCTGCATAAAATTAAGCAAAAGAAATAAGAAATAAGGGGTACAAGTAATGGGAAAGAAGAAAACAGCTGTTGTTACCACCATATTATGGATAATTCCCAAAAACACTATAGACAATAAAAACATTTAGCAAGATTACTTAATGTGATATTTTATTTCTATATACTTTTAATAGATAAGGCATTTTTAAAAGCTATCATTTATAATACCACAGAAATTTATAATATAACTAGGGCTTAAGCTAACAAAAGTATGAAACAAAAGATATTTTATTGAATGAGATAAGAAAGCATACCATGTTTATAGTTAAGAAAACTCAGTATTACTGCAAGATGCCAAGTCTTCTCCAGTAGTGTGTAAGAATTCCAGTTTCAGATTTTAGTGTCTGTCAATTCCTGAGGGAATTGAAATGGTATTTGATTTTTAATTTGCATTTCTCTGACTTTCAGTGATGCTAACAATTTGGCCATTTGGACTCTCTTGTCTATGAATTTCCTGTTGAAATTCTTTTACTTTTCTATTGGACTGTTTGACTTTTTCTTATTGATCGGTGCAAAACGTTATATATTATAGAGAAAAACAATTCATACATGTTCTAAGTATCTTTTCTAAGTTTATGGTTTGTTTTTTAACTTTGTGTTTTTTATCTGTTGTAGTACAAAAAAAATAATCATATCTAAGTCCCATGTGTCAGTCTTTCCTTTATGAGTTGGGCTTTTTTTTTTCATATTGTTATTTCTCAAGAAAAGCATAATTTTTTAAAACTTTCAGATAATTACCAAGTTGCCTTCCAGACTAGCTATACATTTTTTTATGAAAGTGATGACATATATGATGACACAGATGCTAGAAAGAAGACTCCAACTAACGTGGATATCACATGGATTCTTCTACTGCGCTACTACCTTCACCTGCAAAGGATTAATAACATGAGCAAGCTTCTAGGTAGGTATTTCCTGTATTAAGAAAGAACATTATTTTCTGTTTAGGTTCTGTTTCTTATTTAGAATTATAAAATACTCCCGATATTTTTCTGAGTGAATTCTCATTAGGAGATAAAAATTTCAGGGGTTCTTAACCTGAGACACACAGACCTTTCCCTACAATAGTATTTCAATGTAATGGATTTCCTTTGATAGACTACAGGTTTTATTTCACGTACTTAAAAACATTATTGACTGCCAAATTGACCCGTGGCCTGAAAGAGTTGAGAACCAGAGTGATCATAATGTGACAAGTTTATAAAATGAACAAGATGAAATTTTGGCTTTAAGGAGAGAGTCTTTTGGTACCTAGTATGTTAAAGAGAAAAATGCATGACTTGAGACATTTAACTCTGTGGAGTTTGTTTTGTTACAGTTTTTGTTTTGTCATGGGTGCATCTAAAGAATATCCAGAAAAATTGGTATAATCTGCTGCACAGCAGTCCCTTCGTGGTTTCATGATGATGTATATTATTGTGCTTAGTCTGTGCCCATGACATTGGTGATCCAGTATTGCTCATCAGTGCAGCAGTTAGAAAAGGCAGTTTGACCTGGGCCAGGGCTCAGGGACAGAGAAGCCCGCAGGACTAATAGGCTGAGTCACAGAGAGGCCAAGCACCGTTATCAGGAGTTTGCTAACTACTGAGATGGGCAGGCACTGAGAAAGGTGTCTGGGGTAGAAAGTGCATCAGGATGGGTACACGGGCAATGGAAACTCAGTGGTGAAGGAAGCGGACATGAGGCAGAGCAGCAGACCCTGCCGCGTATCAGCTCAGCTCACCTCTGAGTTCACCTGCTGGCATTTCCCATGTCATGTGCCCACATTTTACTGCTTTTCTGCTCTGGGCTTTCTCTTAAGTCACTAAAGGTTGCCCAAAGAAAGGGCAGCCTGGAAGTGCCAGGATTCCACACATTCAGGAGTGCCCTTCAACTAATGAAGCAGGGGACTGGAGGATTAGCATTCCAGCTCCCCAGGCCCTTGGTGGAATAACTCTGCATGTTCTTTCCTCAGAAGGTCCCCCCAGGACTGAGCCCTCGGTGGTTCATGGTTGTAGTCCATTCGTTAACTTGCTCTCGTTGGCCCTTTTCCGTCCTCTACCACACCTTGCCTGTTCTCTCACCTACTGCTCTTTGGATCACTTTTCAAATAAGTCACCTGCACCTAAATTATTGCTTTAAGATCTTCTGGGGGCCGGGAGAGCCTCAAACAAGACAGCTGGATAGAATATTTTACATGAAGACTTGGAGCTGAATTAACATCCTCACGTGATTCTGAGATTTTTCTTTCCTTTCTGTGGCAAGATGCAGTCCCCTTAGTGTATAAGCCCTAGCAATGGAGGAAGGTTGTTGGCAGCTGAGTGGGGATATACAGGATAGTGGTTACTGAATAAAAACCAATAATACTGAGAGCATGCTCTTATCTAACTAAAATAACTCTAAAATGAAGTGTTTTTCTTCCTTAAGCGTCTCCAAAACCCGGTTCTGGAATTTCTTTGCCAGATGATACACTTCTCACATCCCTTTTCAACTCCGGGTTGATTTTGCGCCAAAAAGAAATGCATAACTTCCTTAAAAAATTTTTGCAATTGTATTCTTCCTCTTGTATTGATGAATTTCCAAGAGAACTATTTCAAGGATTGGAAAATCAACCTTTTTCAGAAAATGTCGTACATGACTCATTAACCAAGGTAATGTTTTAAAACATTGTAGATTGTTATAAAACTTCTTAAAGTCATTCTTATATTTCTGAAGGCAGCACATTAACCTCGATGCTGGCACAAAGATTTCTAGTTTCTCTCAGTGTTCCTGGGGAGGCTCATTTCTGCTGTACCATAGAGAGAAGCCAACCAAATGTCCTGATTTTTAGGAAAGTTCATATTTCAAGTGTTTTGTTTCATAAGTCTTCAGAATGTCTCAGAAGTTTCTATGTATCTGCACATAACATCTTTCAGGCAGTCATTTTGCTAAGAAGTTACATAAATTTCAATATAATAACTATAAAAAACTAGACTGAGAGTTTCTAACTCTATGTCCAATTTCTTTGTTTTAAATACATAATAAAAATCATTCATTGTGTGTGTCTTTTATTATCATGAATGCAAATAAATAAGGTAAAAAATTTAAGTAAATTAAGTTTGAGGGTTATTTTTTTCAAAGTGTTATTAAATTGGATGGACTTTCCCAAAATATGTAACATAGAAATTTCTTTTAGGTTACCTGTTGAAAAGAAATAAAAGAGTAAAAATGAAGGGTTTTTTTTTTTAAGCTACTGTGGTCTTCAATAATAGTAATGTTTAAAAAAAGCTAGCAAAATGGATGAATTGGAAGATACTGAAAAGTAAAGAGTTTTCTTAAAAATAGAAATGTGTATCTGCAATTTGGTATATTCAACAAACATATGTTGAATACTCTTAGTTGGTAGAGAAAGAGGGAATTGATAAGGCCTAGTCCTTGTACATATTTTGGTGTGGTCGTAGAGGAGTATTGGTAGAGTCAGAACAGAAGAAAATTACAGAACCTCAGCGATGCTTTTAAAGAGAAAATGGCAGGATTAGTAGCAGATAAAATGTACAAGTTTAAATCTGTTGTTTTGTCAATAGCAGCTAGGGCTGATTGACAAAGGATAGAAGAGAAAGAGTTATCCAAGACAGAGGTAATGAAGTATTGAAACTTATGATCTTAGGAATAGGAAGGAGAGGATGGATGTAAAAGATGTTGCTCAAGTAAATTTGAAAAAACCCCCAACAAATTAGTGTCCCTTTGGAGAGAGAAAGTGAGGAAGAGGAAATGATCAAAGACTGTCCCACCATTTGGAACCTCTGTCTGTGACCATCAGAGAGAGCATGGTAACACCATTAGCAGACACAGCAGAGTCAGGAGGACAAGAAGCTTTGTGGAGGGGGCTGGCGTATTCTGCTCTGTAGACAGAGTCGAAGATTCTAGCAGAAAACTCAAGTGGACATTGTGTATTATACATTTCCAATAGCAATTTGTAAAATGAATAAATCATTTGCATAGAATTCTTTGAAAACTAGAAAAACTTACTCATTTATTTTGAATTATCCTGACATTGGACTTTACCATAGAGCAAGCACTTTGATTTTTACAGTTATAGACTTGCCTGTGTGAGGCCTCTCCATGTTTCTCCTGTCAGCTACCTCAGGGAAGTGACGTGAAAAAGTGGCTTGTTCAAATTGGGGAGCCTTTGCTCATCTTGTCCTACTAGAAAGTAGTAACTATATGTTTTGGGTAGATAATAAGTGTTTTTTTTTTAAATCACTGTTTTGAACAAGAGAGTGGGATGACTGTTAATAAATTTTGATTTTTAAAAGTCGGGGACAGACCCACCAAGGAATATTGAAGGATTCAGTTAAAGAAGTGCTGGTCAATGTGGTTATGCAATTGCTCCCAAGGCAGTGTTTTGGAATCCACGTGAGAGGATTTTTCAAGTTACTTCCTATCAGGGGTCACCAACCCACAGTCCATGGGCTGCATGCAACCCAGGATAGTTATGAATGTGGTCCAACACAAAATTATAAATTTACTTAAAACCTTTTTTTTTGCTCATCAGTTTTCATTAGCGTCTGTGTATTTAATGTGTGACCCAAGACAACTGTTCTTCCAGTGTGGCCCAGAGATGCCAAAAGGTTGGATGCCCCTGTTAGATACTGGGCTATTAGCAGCATAGTCATTTCTTGCCCATATTCTAAATTATTTGAGAAATAAGAGGCTAAGACAGACTGGGATTAAAAAATGCTCACCTTTATGAATCATAGAGTTTGTATTTTAGGATGTGTTTTATTTTTAATGGTAAATGATCTTCCTAGTAGTGAATAGCAGAGTAGACAGATTGGCCAATCCAGCCACATCTTTTTTGCTTTGTTTTTTGGTCATTACAGGCCTCCTTAAAATCTGCAGGGGCAGAGTCCCCTTTAAACTGTGCTACCTAAAGGAGCACAGAATGTTCATGCCCTACAAATAGCTCACTCCTAACACGTAAAAGCAGAACTATACATACCCAAAATTCTTTTCCCCAGATTCACCGATGAAGTAACTCTCACAGGGAGAAGAGGGAGAAAGGCCCAGAATGTAATGTTACTCTCTGGCCCTTTCCAGGAAAGGAAACAGGAGGTGGTGGGACGCAATCCTTCCCATCTCCACCAGACTCTGATTCCCGCCTCCTGGGAACTGAGGCTGCCTTGGAGGATGACTGCTTTGGGTCCCGGAGGCCTCAGGAGTTTTGGAGTAGGGGGCAGAGAATGGGAAGGTCGAGACCTATAGTTTAAATGGGTGTATTTGTGTGACAATTTTATAAGAGTTCGGAAATTAGTACGTGTGATTTCTTAAGTGCTGTGCTTAAGGCTGAGCTCGGCTTGAGTATTTTAGCATTGAGGGCAGCCTATCATCACCCAGTCCCTAAGGATAATGCTCCAGATGTACAGCCTTGACTATATTGTAAATATATGTGACATCTCTAGTGAGAGCAATATTATCAAAGAGTTGTTCTACCCTGCTTGCTGTTTTTTTGATGTAATTAGTTTAACACTCTCCCAGGATAATCAGCTCTGGAGATAGCTGTTGCTTGCCTGACAGGTGCAAGCCACCTAATCATGTGTTCGTTTCACTGGGGTAGACAGCTAACAAGCATAAAGACTTTTGGTGTGTTTTTTTTTTAAATAAACTCCAAGCTTGACTGATTTTTATAATAATGTTTTTAAGCCTTTAATCACTCGGGAGGCTATTTCAATCAAACTCCTTCCATAATTTAATATTTAAACCTGCTTTGCCCCCACAGTGAAGTAGACACCTTTCCAGAATGATCATTGCTATGTGTCATGCTCATCAGTGTTGTGAGTCAGCACGTTGTTGACGCTTTGTGAGGGACAAAGGTGCCCGAACAAATTATGTTAAAAATTCCCCCCCATCCCGAAAAGCATATGATTAAAATTGTGAACACCACTGAGTTATCCATGTTTAGACTGTATCTGGGAGGTCAAATATTTGACTAGAGCAAAGTGATTTGTTGTTAACAGAACTGTGATAAATAAGTTTTCCTGGCAGGTCTGTTGTTTCATTCCTTTCAAAGAATGAATCAAACATATCAAAGTGCTCAGTGTATAGTATATTCCATCAATTAGCATATGTAATTAATCCCATTAGCAACTAGATATTGTTTTTTAAAAAATATAATGGAAAATTAAATGCATATTTTGATATTGACTTTTGTCATCGTTACTAGGCCGTCATGTTAACAAACATTGCCTATATTGCAGAGAAAGATATTTGTTTGTTATTTTTCTCCACTTAGCTAGTTACAAAATATAAATTCTTTGCTAAAATAATTGTCACACCCATGAAAGGCACTCGGATATGAAAAAAATATGAGAAATTACTTTTGCGAATCAATTGTTTACCTGATTTTTTGGTGAACTGCCTGGCATAGAATTAATTAAACACTTTAAAATGATTATTTAACCCTGATAATTTTTCTTACTGTGCCTTTTGGTTGTGTTTTTAGTATCATAATGCTAATAAGTGAGGATTCTGGCTTATCACACATATCCTTTTATGATAGTCTCTAGGTATTCTTCAAAAGTTTTCACCTCTAATATAACCTTTCAGTCAAGATATCTTTTTTCTTTTATCAGTAGACTACTTGAAAGGTCAATGTCTTTATTTCTCTTTTTATTTTATTTTGAAGACTTGCATTGAGAGCTTTATATTATATCTTGAATAGGCTCAGAAATAACAGGAAGTACAAAACGTTATAGAAACACCAAGCATTTCCTACTGAACACTGACGTGCTCTGCTTGGCCACCAAGCCTTGAGATACCTTAGATGTCAAGAGTTTAGTAAAAGAACTGCTTCCCAGCCACTATACTACAATCTTGGGAATAACAAAAAGTTAATTTTGAAAATAGTTCACACTCCATTGAAGAAGGTGCTTTTTAGACTTGATATATTGTTATCACTATTACCTCTCTGTCTACACTTACTTTGTTGATATCAATCAACTTAAAAAACTAAGTTAATAATTTGTGAAATTACCAGTTGCATTTTGCGTATTTATGATTCTTAAAAACATTTGATTTTGGGGTGAAGTTCCATCAAAGAAGCTGGGCCCAAATTTACCAAGACTGAACTTACAAATCAGCCACATTCATTTAAAAGGGGAATGAAAACAATGGATTTGAATCTTTTAGAGCAAAAACTATATCTTATTTTGCCTATGGCTTTGCAAAAAGATGATAAATTATAATCACACCCTCAGTAGATTCACTGGTAAATAAACCAGAAAAAAGTAGATGTGCTTAGAATCCATGAGACTGAAATGATAGATAGCACAGTCCTGTCCCCCCTAGACCTTTAATTGGGAAGACTCACCAAAGCGGAAGACATTTGTTGAGTCCTCTGGGTTTTGAAGCATATTTTTCTGTAGGAGAATCTTCTCTGTGGTAATCAGGGACAGGTTTAAGATCTATATTCGTAAAACAAGCTGAAACAATTTCCAGAGTTATCCATCGTAGCCCATATTGAATGTATAGCGAATGAATGTTTTAAATATTGAATGAATTCATTACCAGTAATTAAACATGTTTTGCTTTGTTCCCTAGACACCTCATGACAGCTCCCTGCACTCCATTTTATCTTTAAAGTTCCTTGCCAGCACATCTTCTCTAGAGGTGATGTCATCAGATAAGGCAACACAACCTCTAAACAAAGAGCTTTGCTTTCTATGGTACATTCCTCCCCTGGAAAGACCTCCAAAGGAACTGGAACCTATGGTATGAAATATAATTACAAAGCTAAATTTTACACTCAGATATAACATTTAACTAGGCCATTATAACTTTGAGAGAAGAGCACATTCTCTTATATAGACAAAAAAATACCGTGATATAAGATCTATATTGTCTAGTAGGATGAATCTGAAAATTACCAGGAAATCCTAGGAAAGTCTTCAAGCTGAGATCATTTTCCTTTTTCCTAATCTTAAAGGAAACCTTTTCATAGTGTCACCATTATATGTGATGTTTGAGGTTTCTTTATTTTTTGGTAGTTATTTTTTAAATCACATTTAAGGAAGTTTTTAATCTACTGCCACTTATTAATATTTTACTTTATCTATTAAGATGATTTTATGACTTTCCTCTTTTAATACATTAATTCTTATTTTAAATGTTAAATCCACCTTATTTTCCTGTGACAAACTCAGATTGGTCATGATGTAGTAATTTTACTGTATTCAGTTTGCTCTGTTTTGTATTAGATTCTCACCACTGTTTTCAAGAGTAATATTGGGCTATAAATTTTTTTTTATACAATCCTTGTCAGATTTTTTTTTTTTTTTGGTCTCAAGCTTTTGCTAGGCTCATAAAATGAGCTGATAAATATAATCATGTTTTTTCCCTTCTCTGGTAAAGTTTGTAGTAACCTTTTCCCTCAAATATTTGGTAAGAACTTATCAGTAAAGCCATCTGTTCCTAGTTTTTTGACTGTGAGAGAAAATAAGACTAGTGATATAATTTTCAATAGTGAGACGTAGTTGTTAAAGCACTAGCCTTTACTAATGTACTGATTCAGAGTTGGTAGCAGTTCTGATTGGGCCAATATGTGTTCTAAAGGTTCATAACTATATCAAACCAAGATTTAAATATTTTGGCTATCACCCCTGTTTATAGAACCTTTGGGTTTTCTATTTCTTCTTGAGTAAGTTTTGTTTAAGTTGCTTTTTCAAGGAATTTTCCCATTTTATTTAAAATTTTTCTCATTTTTAATCTGAAATATTTGTAATGAAGTTCCTCTTTTCATTCCTTATATTGGATATTTGTGTATTTTTTTCTTAGTTGTTGTCACCAGAGGTTTCTTATTAGTTAGTTTTATTTCATTATTCAATATATTCTTCTTTAACTTTTTTTCCTAACTGACTTCTTTTGATAGCTGGTTAACTCAATATTCAGTTCTTTGTTTCCTAATGTAAACATTATAAGGCCATAAATTTCTCTCTAAACATTGCATTGGCTTTGTTTAAAACCCACATGTTTTTTTTTTTTTACAGTATTGTCAACATCATTGAGTTAAAAATAGTTTTTAAATTTCTATTATGATTTCTTTTTTGACTCATGAACCATTTCAACATGTTTCTTAAATTCCAAACTATATGGAGTTTTTCTAGTTGTTGTTAGTATTTATTCCTAGATTATGTTGCTCTGTGGTAATAAAAAGTGCTCTGTATGACTAATATTTGTTGAAACTTGCTTTTTCCTCCAGGAATGTAAATATCCATTTCTCTTAAAAAGAATATTCACTCCCCAGTGGTTGAGGCAGTTGGCCATATTTGTTTTATAGGTTCATTTAATTAGTCTTGTCCAGGTATTCTATATTCTTGCTGATTTTTCTTTTTGCCTTTAAATTCTTAAAATGACAATGACAGTGATTGTCATTGTGTACATTTTGCTTGTAGTTCTGTCAAGTTTTGCTTTACATAACTTGAGGCTGTGTTCTTAGGTGCAATCTGACTGATAGCTGCAATCTGCTTAGTGAACGGAGAATTTCGCCATTGCGAAGTGGTTTGTGGCCTTTTTGTCATAATGCTTTTTGCCTCACAAAGTCTATTTTGTTTGATATTACTAGAGGAAAATGGCTTTTTCATGGAGTTATTTTCAGTGTATCTTTTTTCCAGCCTTTAACTTTCAACCCTTTTTTGTACTTGTGTTTTAGTTGTTTTTTAATAAAAGGTATGCATTGGATATGTTTAAAGATAGTCTGACAATATTGTATTTTGACTGAAGAATTTAATGCATTTACATTTACTGTAAAAACTAATATATTTGGTTTTAAATCTACAATGTTATTTTGTGGTTTTACTTCTCTCAGCTTTTCTATTTTTCTTTTCTTGTTTCCTTTCCTTTGGATTGATTACTTTTATCATTAATTTGTTTCTTTATGAGTTTTGAAACTATTTACTCTTTTTCTGTGCTTTTAGTGGCTCTCCTCAGGACAACTACATGCTTATCATAGTCTAAAGTTAATAAATATCTTTACTTCTCTAATGACGTATATGGTATCACTGTACATTTTATTTTTTAACCCAGATTAATATTATTTTAAAGTTGCTTTAGATGAGTTTCTTTCCTATAGACTTGGCTGCATATTATTTGCTTTGTGTTTTTTTTTTTTTTTTTTTTTACTTTTTCTTGCATGTTAGGCATTCTGTCTAGTCACGATATATACTACATACTGTAGAATTTCCTTTGGTGATGTGCTTCAGGAGGCAAACACTCTTTTGCCTGATAAATGTTATTGTTTCACATTGATTTATGAAGTAAGCTTTATAGAATAGGAGAGTTCAAGATTGGACATTATTTTGTTTTAGTACATTGAAAATGTCATCTACTCACTTAGACATTGTTGCTGTTGCAGGTCAAACTGTTGTTTAAAAATATTCTGACTTCCTTCACCAGTTGCTGTTGAGAGTTTCTCTTTGTCTTTCCACAATTTTACTGGGAATGGTTTTCTTTTTGTTTATTTTGCTTATATTAGTGTAATAGTTTAGAATGCAGAGTGTGGAGCCAAACTGCTGAGTGTAGGCTTTGAATCCTAGCTCTGCCACTTAATAATTCTGTGAACTTCAGTATATTAGTTAACTTTTTCTGTAGCATGGTTTCCTTCATCTGAAATTAGAGATAATTGTGTAAGGAAACACCTAACCTCAGTAAAAAGTAGTCATTTATTATCACAAATTATTTTTAAATTATTATGCTGTTTTAAAGTTTAATAACTTCAAATACTTATGTAATACACTTGGTAAAAGTTATTTAAAAGTACCTATTAAATAATGGCAACAATGTCTCATTATATTAATAGGTTCTTCAGCAGCGTTGTACAGAAAAGAGAGTAAACTGCCTAACCAGCAAAATTAAAGTTTATAGCAAACTGGATTAAAAAAAATCTTAGTTTGCTTCTAAATGCTGTTTACAAATTTGTATCTCATATATAACTCCTTATTTTAATATTTATTATCTTTATCTAACGACATATCATTATCTATATCTATGTCCATATCCGTGGATACACATTTGCAATATTGCTAATTGAGGGGCAGGAAGCCAGGGATGCAAGTATTTGGGAGCAGTTCAGCATTAGTCCTGAGCTCTTGGAGGCTGAACAGGGATTCAGATCCTTGGAGAGCCTTAAAGAGGGAGTCAAGCTTTTAAAAATAGAACAGTTGGTCACTACAGCCTTTTACAGAGGAAACTTCTACTATAGAATTCCTTTTATATCTGCACTAAGAAGATCCTCAGGCTTTTCCCCGTAAAATGTTAGCTGTTTGGTTTTGTCCTGTTTAGCATTTTTATTTGCTTTTTGTTGCTTGCCTTGGTCTGTTCCTGTCTGTCCCAGCTCTTGAGTGCTCTCCCCTCTAGCTGTGCCTGGGGTAGCTTCCGCGGGTCCTTGGGCTCCTGCGACTGGGATCCAGTAGTGGAGCCTCCAAGGCTTTTCCCCCTGCTCCCCAGCACCTTCTCCCATCAGGCCCTCATTCTGCCTCCTTGGCCTGGCTGCCTGGCCGACTCTTGGCCAATTAAGTATTTTTTCCTACTCATGCAACAAGAGAAACTTTAAGATCCAGAAACATTTAAAGCTATTTCTCACATTTTGAAAGTACTTTTCTTCCCACCTTTCCAATTTAAATCCTTGCCACATATTTCATATATATTTTGAAATAATAAATCTATAATCTATTTTGATGAATTTAGTGCAGTACTTTTCCACTTGCAGTTCCAAGAGTACGCTGGGCTCATGGAGTCAATGTAGCGGGGGATGAGTAGTAATTTTTTTAAAGAAATCAAATGCAAGAAAAAATAATCAAGATGCATCACATATAGTAAGTGAAAATGTTTTCCAAAACTGTTGTTTTGTGATAGATGTGTTAAAAAAAGAAAATTTCTTAGGTCACTCTTCAGCGTAGGTCAGAATCTGTTTACTGGTTGGCAAGAGAACCAACGACCTGATTAAAGAGTGTATCCATTCAGATAGGGTGGGGAAAGAGAAAGATCACTAGTTGGGAAACAGAATGTTTACCTAAGCAGCTGGTTTTTAAAAAAAAAGAAAAACAAGGAAGAAAGAATCAAATATAAAGTTCATTTCACAGGATCATAGAAATACCACATCCATATCCATCTGGGGCAGGATGATCTGAGAAGTTAATGCCAAGACTTCATCTGTGGCTGATAATTAGAACAACAAGACTTCATCTGTCAACAGTTGTGTCTGACAATTAACATGGAAGCACGAACTGGTGTCATTCAGAGATTAGTAGCAGAGCACCAAGGAACAAATCCTGATTTAAACAGGTTGCTTGAGTGATTTTCTTAAGCCACAAGCGAAGACACAGAACACACAGTTTTTCCATTTCTTAGTTTGAGGACTTTTTTCCCCCCTTTGACAATTATTGTGTATGTATCAGGTCATGATAAAAGATGTAGTTGCTGCCATAAATCTCAGTCAAAAACTCAGGAAACACTGGCTAGATCTTCTCAGTCCTAAGACACTATCTTTTTTAGAAGATAACACTGACATTTATTTGATGATTTAAATACATACTGATATATTCAAGCATGCATATATTCATTTTAATAGGCCTTTAGTGTAGAGTTTCATGTTGAATGATGGGCTGAAGCTCATGAAACCCACAGGGTAATAGCACTAGTGAACACTTATGTAGAGTTTATTATGTTCCAGGCACTTTACTTGTATTAGCTTCATGACAGCACTATGAGGTCGTACTATCATTAGCCCCATTTTATAGAAAAGGAAACAGACACAGGAAGGCTGGTTGGCGTGAAGCCAGGCCTGGAACAGTCGGACCCCAGGTCTGCGTTCCTGAGCGTGGCGCTGTGTCAAGTCTTCAGATGATGGTCCTGGCTGCAGGCGCTTCTAGACTCTGGAAAGGAATGAAAATTAATATCTGATTTAAGGTTTTAGTGTTTCCAGGGGTTTTGAGGGTCATTGGATGACACTATATGTTAACATCACTTAATTCATCTTCTGAATCCACTTTAGCTTATGACACAGAAGCAGGAATACCAGCAGGAACTAAGGATGCTGGTGGCAGCAAAGAAGAAATGCTGGGGCCAGGGATTTGCATATAAAATGTTTAGACAACTCAGAGGGCTAAATATTCCATACCATGACACTTAAGAATTAAGTTCATAACTTGGAAAAGTTTAACTTCTTACCTGTGGGGGCATAAATTGCATTATCCCGTTTGACAAAACTATCTTTAGTAGAATATAGTAGAACCACATTGTGAGCTCTTCACTAGGACTTTATTACAAACTAAACATCTTTTGCACAATTTCAGTAGTTTCTAGAGCTTCTCTCCATGCCACCTAAGACAAATTTCAGATCTGAAGAAAACTAAGAGGATGTTCAATGCTCTCATTTTACAGATCATGAAGCCAAGTCCTATATGGGCTTGAGCAATGTATGCTACAAATCATTAGTGGCAAAAATACAAAAGGGAACCTAAGTCTTCTAACTCTTAATATTGATTTCTTTATAATACACATAATAATACAATATAATAATAAACTCAATTGCTTCCAACTAAGCATAAAATGGGATAGGATGACACAGGTTGACGCACAGTGTATTTCAGATGCAAGGACAGGACTAGATCAGTTATTAGTTAGTACATTTCTTTCAGGCTTTGCCAATGGCCAACATCATGACTACAGTCCCTTGAGATGCTAACAGGGTTGCAACAGACTGAGAATGACACAGAAGGTAACAAGACCGGAGATGTCTGACAAAAGATTGTGATTTTTTTGCAGAGATTAGAATAAATTTCTGGGGGGAAATTTATTAGAATAAATTTCTCTGGGGGGGAAAGATTGTAATTCCTTGTTTTTTTAGGAATTAAAAAATTATAGGTTGAAAATTATTTCCCCCCAAAATGTGGGAGGCATCTCTCCATTGTGTCTGGCAATGTGCATTGCTATTGAGAAATCAGACCGCATTCTGATTCCTAGTCCTTTGATTTTTTCCCTCTGGAAGCCCTGGGGATTTTCCTCTGTCCCGTGTTCTGAAATTCCATGATGGACCTTGGTGTGAGTCTTTCATGCCATGGGTCTTGGATGCCCCTTTCAATATTGAAAGTATATTCTTCAGTTAATGGAGATTTTTTCCTTTGATAATTTTCTCCATCTGATTATCTCTGTACCTTCCGGAAATTCTAATACTCAAATATTGAACGTATTATATTGAGTTTTTACTTTTCTTATTCTCCCCTGTTTATGTTTTTAAGTTTATGTTTATTTTATATTCTTCACATCTTTTATTGATTATTTAGTTGTTATGATTATTTTTTTAAATTTTTAAGCTCTTTCTCATCTTTTGACTGTTCCGCATTAGTAGCACTGTGTTCTCATTTCACAGATGGAATATCGTCTTTCTTCTCTCTGAGGATATTAATTATGGTTTCATTAAAGTTCTGTTCTGCTCTCTGACTTGTTACTGATTTTCCAAGTTCCTTTCTTATGTTAGTTTTGGTTGCTACCTTTCATTTCATATTTAGTGACTGCTGGCTATCCGTTCATGTTGGAGACAGCAAGAAGCACATTGAAGGTAATTGTAGGAGCCAGCAGTTTCATTGGAGGATGCTGAAATGTCCGTATCTGTAGGTCTTTTCTCTTTGGTCAGTTCCCCGGAGAAAGGACTCTTTTAGACTCCTGTCTGGTTTCCTACATTCTAGGGGTCGGGGTGCGGGGGACGCTGGAGCTGGGTAAGGAAATGTCTCTTGCTCAGAATAGAGACTTTCACTTAATTCCAGTGTTTCCAGTTCCTCACCTTACCTTGTACCTATGTTCCTGAGCATAGATCTCTTCTGATTTAATCTCAGCAGAGAGCAAAATGGAAGAAGTTCAGCCAGCAGAAAGGAGACAAAGGAAGGGAGGAGTCTCCCAGGGGCATGGGCTCAGGGAAGGGAAGGGATGGGAAGGAGGTTATCTAAGACCCCTGATGCCTCCAGTCCCTGATGCTTGTTGTTGGCAGCCCCTCCGCATTCAGTCAGGACACAGCCCTTCCTCTCCACTCTCTTGGCTACACTCTTCCAAGTGTTTTCCGCCATTCAAAGTGTAAATGTGTTGTCTGCCTCACCTCTTCTTCTACCTTTGTGGATTTGTGCCTTTTTAAAAAAAAAAAAAATCTCTTTACTCTTATATTTACTTGATTTGTGAGGAAGCAAAGATAAAAGGATGCACTTAACTAGTCAATTTTGTCTGGCAGCTCCGGGCCTCAGCTTTCTTATACCTACAATGAGAGACATAGAGCAATCATCTCTAAGGGCCTATGAGCCTCAAGTTCCAGGAATCCATGACTGTAAATAGATGCTGTGCCATATAGGACTGATTCTAAGGACTGTCAGAATTCAAACAAGGAAACTGTTGGAGCCTGGGTCATTAGGAGAAGTTTCATCTTGGAGATGGGGACTGTGTATCGAATACATGGAAGGCAGAGGAAGGCAGCAGCATAAATGAATACAGAAAAGCAGCTACGGCTACGATGCGATGAGGGCGATTTGAGAAGGGACAAGAAACAAAGTCAGATATTCACCAGGTGTTTATTTAGAACTTGTAGAGGGCTTTCAAAGGCTGAGATTTAAACTTCCCTGTATTAAGAAATGTCACTCTTCAAAGATAATATAAGATTGGTACCAAATAGCATTTTTTTCATCTCATAAGCTTTGCACAATTCCTGTTCATATCATTTCTTCTTAAAGTGAATTGAACAAAAAGCCCTCATTTTTCTCTTTCAAAAAAAACTTTTTAAAGTTTAACGATATTATTTTGAGAAGTGATGCACATTTCTTGTGAAGCAAAGTATAATTTTGATGTCACATTTTATATGCCTTTTAATTTTCTTACAGGTTTTGTTGCTGTATGCATACTGCTTGAAGCCCCTAAAGGTTTCAGAAGTGAACTACACCAATCTTAGCAGCACATGCGTTGGATCCTTCTGGGTTCCCCTGAACAGGCAAGTAAACCTGTGTCATCCTCTACTCTAGCTTCCACTGTCAGTATTGTCATAAGTGCAAGCCATTTCAGTAACATACAAGGTAAACCCTAGGAAAATTGTTAGGAGACATTTTTAGAAAAAAATTTTCCTTTGGAAGAGTATGGTATTGTAGTGGTTAGGAGCACACGGGCTCAATCCAGCCTTCTTTGCTTCAAATGCCAGCTGTGTGCCTTCACTACCTTTCCTACCTTCAGCAGGTTGCTTAACGTATCTGTGCCTCAGTCTCCTCTTCCATAAAATGGGAATAATAATAATATTAGTACCTAAGGTTGTTGGAGGAAGAGTTCCTGACACTTGATGAAGTTTACAGAGAGTACAGGATGATACCTGTACTATAGCTTGCCTAACATTTGGGATTCATTGAAAAAGTAACGTAATGTGGCTATGAGTTGGGTTGCAGAATTTAGCCGACTCCACCATGTTGCTTGTCTTCCCCCTTTCCTCTTTACCTAACCTGTTTTCGATTGTTCCCCAAAGTCTGTGCTTCAGCCCGGTTGCTTTCCCCTCTCTCCATCAAACAGGCCATACCCCTCATTTGTGCTCATGCATAGTTCCTCTTTTTTTCCTATTTCATGTTACCAAGCTCCTTGTTTGTTTTTCATTGCTTAGTTACATTAGTTTTGATTCCAGTGTTTGTTACCCATATGACCCCAGCCTCCATTTTGTTGCTTGTGAGATGGAAATCATACCTATTCTACCTACACTAGGGTTACTGTTAGGATCAAGCCGAACAATGTATACACTTACTTTGAAAGGTCAAGTGTCATTACTAACTCCCATGTCTGTTAGAGTCAGCTCATTGTCCAGCTGGGCATCTAGTAGGTGCTTGGGGAACAGAGACTTGGTGCTTCTCTGGGGAATGTTATTCATGCTCCATGATTTTCATTTCAAAGGACTCTTTTTGGCCTCAGAACAAAAGAGAATAAAACAAGAGATGTTTCAAGAGCTATTTTCAATTATTGGGCATTTTTTTTTCGTGAAATGGCAGAAAATCTAGACACAGGTCACATACCAACAGAGCTAAGCAACAAAAGCAGGAAATTAGACACTTGCCTTTTACATTCAGAAACATGGCAAGATTTTTTTTCAGAACCACGTGATGAAAATGATTATAATTTCTGCAGGTTAGAAGGTAATCAGACTGTCAGGATTTTTTATTCCAAAATGTTCCTCCTTATGGTGTGTTCATGGTCAATGGCAGGGTTACTCGAGTTAGGGACATGCCCGGTCACTGAGGCTGTCACAGAGGAGAAGGTCTGACAGCCTTTCATCTGACCTGTCCTTTGATGGCGCCATGAAAATGGACTGTTTCTCCCCGCAGGGCAGCATTACCTGTGCTCTTGTGTGGGTCAAATTAAGATCAGTTTGTGGAGAATTATCCTTGTTGATCATCCTTTGGAAGGCAAAATAAGAGGATACTGTGGAAAACTGAAAAATTGAAATTCCTGAATAAAAATTTTTCTGACAACAATTTGCTTTTTGGGGTCATTTAGTTCTTCATCATGAAATATTCCTTCCTTCACTGGGCACAGACACTTGCATTGCACACACATGTAGGCATGCGCATGTATGTTGTATCTATGTCATAGCCTCTGCGGGCCATGCGCATGGCTGTTTGCCTCCTCCAGCTATTCCAAGGTTTTTCCATCTTCTGACTCCACTCTGCCTTCAGCGCATCCACGGGTCGCGGGCCCATGGCTCCAGAAGCTTCCGTTGGTGGCACAGCTGGCATTGGGCCCTCTGCCCTCCTCCCCAGCCTTTGCTCTTCCTTATGTCTTGATTTTTTCCCTCTACCCTCCACTCTCCACACAAGACACCTCAGCATTGTGGGCTCATTGATTGTAGTTTTTCAGAGCCATTGCTAAGTTGTCATAATTCTTACTTTCAGGGCAGCCAGAGACAATCATAGCATGACATCAGGGTTTACACAGGAGTAAATCCTTTGTCATTGCTTGGCATCTCCTTGCCCATGTAGATATTTATTTTCTTTATTTTCATCTTAAGCAATATTTTGGATATGTACATTTTTTTCTTTGTGCCATTGCCAGTGTGTAATTATATATCTGCCTGAGTGTGTAACTAGATCACACACATTATGCAAGTTAGAATTGTGCCCCTTTTCTCAGGCTTGTTGCCGGAAGGACTAATGGAATGCATTGTGTTTAGGACGTCAGAAACTAAGTGTTAAATAGCTGAGGACTTACTATGCACATATTATTGACTCTTGGATTAAATGAATGCCTTTCTTAACTTTTCGAATAAAATACATATATATTTGTTATTTTTAGAGTTATTTCAATTCATGAGAAACTGTGTAATCTCACGCAAATAGCTGAAATATCATTGCCAGCAACTCCTGAAGTTACTCCAGGTGAAAACGCATCTGAAATACAAGAAATGGAAGAGAAACCAATTGGTGAAGAAATGGAAGTAAGTTATGAAACACTGGAAAGTTACATTACTGCTGGAGGATGGATGTCATTATACATAATCCTTTGAATTATTTTTTACTTCATCAGTGCACAGCTATATAACTCTAGTTGAACTTTGTTGTTCTTCTGCACCCTGTTTTCTCTATGTGGAGTGCCAGATGTGACCCTTTTTGACACATAAGTAGGGTTTCCTTCAAAGCTGTCTAAGCATACCAATCATAAGGATTTTATGGTGAATGAAAACAAAGCCAACCTAGAGAAATCATTCAGACACAGCTGTGAATCTGAAGTAAAAATGCACTGTAACTTTGTACCACTACTTTTAATTTCTCATTCTAAGTTTATTATTTGAGCATTTTTATTACCCAAATAATGTAGCAAACATGGCTTTAGGTCTGTGGCCAAATGAGCTTATTAATATTTTACCCCTGAACCAGCCAGGCTTACCCGCCGAGTCACACAGCCACCTAGCCTGCCTGTGACCCTGAGATGCTCCCCCACGCCCCTTCTGCCCCTGCCAGGCTTACTGCACCGAGGAGCAGAGGATAATGATCCTGCAGGCAGGGTGCTTCCAAAAATACAAACAAAGATTACCTGGAAGGGGCTGAGCGTTTCTCCAACTCACCAATCAGGAAAGTCTCCCCACCCTCCTGGCAGTGAATGAGTGATGGGTGCAAGGGCAGCTGGAAGTGTCTCTCCTTCAGGAGTGGAGTGAGAATTCCTTCCTTCTGTGGAAATAGAGGAGCAGGGAATATGTATTCTTTCCTAATCACTTGCTCTGTGAATTTCCGTTTGTACATTAATCCAGTTAGTTGAGACACATATGCATATTCTGTAGTTACTGTGGTAATTTTTTAAAAAATCAAATAGCTGTATAACATTTACAACAAAAGGAAACAGTCTTCTGCCCAACTTGTACTAATGAATTCCAGCCACTGAGATCCCATCTCTGATTTTCTTCTCTGAAATCTCTTAGTCTCCTACCTTTATTTTTTGTCTATTGTTTCTTTTTTCCTTAAATCACTTTCTGCTAGGTTACTATTCAGTTTGTTTTCAATAACCATATTCTTAAAGAATATTATTGGTATGGCTCATTTTGTTTTCTTGTTTACCTTATCTATGCATTCACTGTGTGAAAGTGTAAAAGTTGGCAAATCTCCTGCTTTTCAGAATCTATTGTTGGCATTTTTTCAGTGTGAAGTTACCAGAAGAGTGAGTGCATTTTTCATTATTGTGAAAGCAACAAGCCCAGCGGTAGGAGGATTCATCAGGCATGAACAGCTAGCCTTTGCAAAATACAGCTTTCCAGTGTTTACCTCTCCTGTGCTCTGTGTGTGCATTTATCATGGAGCTGATGTCTTAGAATTTTAGTTACACATCTTTTCCAGTGTCCTCAAATGTTACAACATGAATTACCAGGCATTTAATTATATTAATGACATACTAAGTACTGATAATAAATCTCCCAATAGATCAGCTATCTCAAACTCATAAGTTTCATATATACTATATATAATTTTTTCTAAATTGCATGGTTGCCTTTTCATATCTGTTTCTAAGAACTCAGCTCTCATTTCATTTTTGCACTTCTTTTGTAGATCACTTACAATCACAATTTTTTAGTCACAGACCAAATGAATCACAAACTCATCAGACTTTGTACCACGGTCTAGAGTGTTCTTTGCTGAAATCATCTTTGACTCCATTCATTACTATATAAGTTATATATGGAAAATGACTATGTTCCCCTGCATTTGTCTTTTCAGCTTAGATTGTCTAAGATAGGAAAGTGAGTGTCTGGAAGAATAAGGATTCTAGATTGTGCTCTGCCACTCACCTTTTTGGGACTAAAGGCATTTCCTGGGACTAATTTTACTCTCATTTCTAAAAGTGTCCTTTTGCCCTGTGGCTAGTATGGCTCAGTTGGCTTTGAGTGTCATCCCATAGACCAAATGGTCACTGGTTCAATTCCCAGTCAGGGCACACACCCAGGTTGTGGGTTCGATCCCCAGTTGGGGTACATATGAAAAGACAACCAGTCATGTTTCTCTCTCACATTGATGTTTATTTCTCTTTCCCTTCCTCCCTCCTTCCCTCCATTTTCTTCTCTCTAAAGGTAATGAAAATATGTCCTCCAGTGAGGATAAAAGGAAAGAATGATCCTTTCACTCAAATACTGCTCTGAGCTGGAGATGAGCCCTTTGGCTGGAAAGAGAGTCATCAGAATTTCCCTGGGGGTCAGATGTAGACCTCAGATTGATCACAATGAGCCCCATATCTGAGCCAAGAGGTTGACTCTGCATACAAACAAATTAGGAATGAATGGGGGCTGGGGAGCAGGGGCAGAGGGAGGAATCCAGAGGATCCAACTTGCCCCAGCCAAGCTGTGTGGCCTGCTTGCATGTCCTGACTAGAGAGGTGTTGGTGAACAGGTCAGTCTTTGAGTAGAATAAACTTTTTTCAGTCCTGATATTGTCCTCTGTATTTTTGAACTTACTCCATTGTCCAATTTAGAAAGTGCTTCTTCAGCTTTAAGTAGGCATTTTTAGATGTTTTTTAATTCTATTAGTTTTTTATAAGACAGAATGTCATCAAATGGAAGAAAAACTAGTATTTGTTTAGGTAAATTAGCAAACTAATTACTTCATAACATTTGAAAGTTGAGAAATGGAGGGAACATACAAAGTTTTCTTTTTTTTCCAGTATACTAACCAGCACTTAAGAAAAAGAAAGCAGCTAGATTTTGGGTTATAGTAAATAAATCCCATTGACTAAATCTTCCAGTTCATTGTCATGACAACCTTCACTGGGAGCTAATTAGGAGTTAACTAGGACACTTGAAGGAATCAATTCTAGTGGAGAATTGGACAGGATTTCATAATCTCTATAATCTAATATATTAATATCTATCACAGTATAGATTTTTGGTGGGTTATTAAGTATAAGGTCCAGAAAATGTGCTTTTGGCTGATACAAGGAGTAGTAAATCTTGTTCTCTTTCTCATTTCTTTCCTTTTTTCTATTTTCTCCCCAAATCCCTATGGTCTGGAATAAGCCAAGAACTTCATAACACAGTAATTTAAGATGCTTGGAAGGGCTACGGAACAGGTGTTTCAATCACTTCAGGCTTGAAAACCTTGTGTGTCCTTCTTCAAAAATGAACACCACCAGCTCAGAATGACCAAGTTGTTTTAAGCTGTTGTTCACAGCTTTAGGGGTACCACAGAGTGAATCAGGTACTTTAAAGCATATGAAAGATGCAAACCATCCTAATTTTAAGACAAAAACCATCTTTTTGTAATGATAGCCTACTGATACGAAAAGCTTAAAATGTATTTACCGAGTCATCCAAGGTTAACTCAGCAAACATATGGATTGTGTAAGGCAATTAAAATGAGTATGTTGTCCAATTATCCTAAATATCAAAGTACTATCAAAACACAGAACAAAATAAAATTGGACATTAGCATCACTTAACAGATTATTTTTGAGAAGCAATTGTTTGCAAAAATTTTCCAGGCTTGGGGAGATAAGAAATACAGAAATCAGTACAATTAGGTCTCTGTCATGGAGGAGCTTAATTTTTGTGTGAGTTTACCCATGTACCCAGATGTCATTCATAATGAGCCAGCTGCCTGGTGGCCCTATTTTAGCAAGTAAAGTGTGGCATTTAAAGAAACATCAATCTGATGTTCAAAACCACTGAAGACAATTTAAATCTTTATGGGGTCTCTTGTAAGAACATTCAAGAGGAAATCCTTTTGGAATACACAGCAAAACTTTGTTAAAGTCTTATTTTCCTCAACTGTCTTGCTCTTAATAGCTCTCTGATATCTACACCCGGTCTTCAACATCTGTCTCATTTGGCTCAAACTCCTAAACTTTCTCTCCAACTCAGTCTATGTGGAGTGTTTTATTTCCTCTCTCCTTCCTGCTCTGGCTCAGCTCAGTTCGGCTTAGTGTCTCTGACTTCTAGTTTTCCTAATTCCCCCATTAACTGAATTCTACACCATTCAAAAGGGTAAGGTTATGGAATCTTTCCCTCTCAGGGGCGCAGCTTTTGATACCTGCTATTCTAATTTATTATTTTTTAGATCTTATTCATACTGATGTGTGTGTAGAGGGAGGGAAGGGGATAGAGAGGGAGAGAGTTGAGCTAGACTTTGTATTTGCTTAAATAGCTCAGACAGCACTTTATAACTTCTGTAAAGTTCAAGGTCATTTTCTTTTGCACCCCAAAATTTCTTGTGCCCTTACCATATTGTTTCAACAATTATCTGGTTATGTGTCTCCTCCTCTCTCCTGAATTTGTATTACCATGCTAGGTAGTCTTACTTACCTTATTGTCTCCAATATCTTGGTGCCTTTGCAATACTTGCCTGTGAAGCTTCTACCTGGAGACTTGAGGAGCACTCTCATTCCTGACTGAGGGAACAGTGAGAGTTGAGATGTGAAGTCATGAAACTGAATGTCGTATTCAGGGGACAGTGAGCCACTGCTGCGGCAAGAGTTCAGGGTTCACGTGGTGGGTGATGGGGCTGAAGAGATGGGCGGAACTGAGCGCCTCCTCTCTGGTCTCTCACAGTGCTGCAAGTCTGTCTCTCCTCTTCCTCCCACCTGACCATGAACTGCTCAAGGGCTCTCTTTCTGTCTTGTTCATCTCCTGTTACCACTCCTTGGTACATAGGATGCATTCAATAGATGCTGAACAAGTGAATGGTGAATGAACATTGTTCTGCAGGAAATGGTGTCGGGGTGGGGGGGCGGGGTCGGGCAGCACCTGGAAGGGCAACTCATGACCCACACTCCTTTTACTAAGATAACCCTGGTGGCATGTGAAGGAGGCATGAGGGGGGCAAGAGTTGGGAGGATGAAAAACAAATTAGGAAGCGTTTTCCATATTATAGGTGAGAGATGATGAGGATTTCAACTAAGTCAAAGAATTTATTTATTTTTTTGAAGTAACTCTGAAGTCCATCTATTGTAGAATCAAAGATGCTCCTTGTTAATGGAGAAATGGCAGGGATCAGGCCAGGGCCACTCTATGTCCTCCCAGGCTCCTCGTCGACCTCAGCTCCCCCCTGCCCCAACCTCTGGATGGTGGATGAGCTCAGTGCTTTCTGGCCTCACTTCCGTGGTCGCGAGGTCCTGTGATGTCTCTCACAGTCCAGCATTGAGTCGGCCCATTTCTCATGTGTGTTTGTGATTTACCTCAGATAATGCCAAAGCAACAGGCTGTTGGGGAGGTGAAGTTTCTGTTTGATCAATGTTGAAACGGGCAGCAAAAGGCATTTATCAGGCAACATTGCTGTTCATTTGTTAATGTGAAATGATGACTAACATTGTTTTGCTTGACAGGTCTTGATGAAATCATGACAGTAACCCATCACGGATGTTATTGAAACCTTTTGTATAGAAAGAAAATATACTTTACCTAGTCCTAAGAACTCAATTAGAAATACAGAAAGAGAGATAATGAGAGGAGTATAGGAGTGGATGTATGTTTTCCTCTGTCTAGCAAAATGAACCAGGAGCCTCAGAAGCCCATCAGAGGAAACTAGTGTTCCCCGGTCAGTGCTGGCGATCCCGCCTGCCCTCTGACCTTTGTGGTCCTGTTGAAGCTGCCCTGCATTTAGCCACAATCACTTCCTGCCCAGGCAGTTTGATTTATCCTCTTCTTGGCTCTTTGAGTGCAGTTTACCATTGTGTGTGTGTGTGTGTGTGTGTGTGTGTGTGTATGTGTGTACACATTTAAGTTCACCTTTTAAGTTCACACTTATGTCTCACTTTGTGGTTAGAACAGTGCTGTTCACCTTTCAGCTGGGGCCAGAATTATCTTTTTAAAGCACCTGATCATTATTCCCTCAGTCCAGTGCCTCTCAATTTCCTAGCCACCAAAACGCAAATCCCTTGGTTTTTCCTGCCCTGGTGTAAGTCTGCTCTCCAGCCTTATTTCTCACCACTCTCACCGCCCTGCTTCCAGAACCAGCCCACAGCAAAAGCCATATCAGATCCCTGTGTGCCCCGAATGCCCAGTGCTTTGCTGTTTACCGGGCTTCCCCCACTCTCTGCCAATTGAAATCCTACTACTCAGTCACTCTCGGTTCGTAAGCCCCTTTCCCCGGGAAGCCTTCCCTGTTCAGCATACTTATACTTACTCTCTCCCCTCTCCAGGCTCCTATAACATGTCACAACGATGTGGGTTGTGACCACAATCTACTTGGTATTTTATTTTGTTGTGTATGTATCGGTTTTTCTTGCTGATGGTAAACTTTGGGAAGATAAGGCCTGGTTGTTGTTTTTTTTTATTTTTGTGTTCCACAGCACCCAATATATAATGCCTTAAATGCATTTGTTAAATTAGCAATAGCTTTGGAACTCTTAAAGTTTGATCTTTTCTATGTTTATACATTTCTTAAAACTTGGACATAACATGGTTTGGGGCTGTGAGTTCAATTTTGTTTTTGTCCTTTTTTATTTTCAGTTTTAACCAGCAGTGGTCAGTTATAATGTAAGAATTAATGTACTTTTATCATTTTAATATTTCTGAATGCCATTACATGTACATATTAATACTACCATAAGAGCACATTGTTGCCTCCTTCAGAGATGGATACTGGCAATGACAACGTTAAGAGTTATGACTCCTTTAGTTGTAAGTAAAGAAAATCTACTTACACTTGCTCAAGTAAAAAAGGTTAGGTAGGGAGGCAGTATTTTGCAGGGTCCAGTGAGTATGCTCACGCATAACCAGGGACTGGAAACAGTACCCCCTGGACCTCACAGGAAACAGACTGGAGAACCAGGAGCCACGACTTTGCCCAGTTCCTCAAGGGGCAGAAGTTCCCACTCATCTGTTTCTTCCTCTTACTCACCTTACATCTGGTCCACCGGCTGCTTTCTCCAACTCTGTATCAGGACCTCTGAAGCTCACACGGCCAGTACTGTCTACAGCTCTCTTCTGTTGTCCTTCGTTATGAAAATTACAATAATAGAGAATTTGACTGATTCAGCCCTGCCTATGAGTAGATCCCTCATGTGTCAGATGCGTACACATAAGCATAGCTCTACGCACACAGTAGGGCTTGTGGCAGTGTCATCAACAATAGACAACATAAGAAATTGGCTCTCGCTTCCTGTTCATTTACTCTTTCCATTTCTTTCCAATTCCCAGCCATTCTTCTCCACTTAAATCCGTTTCTGGACTCTCTTCCAGGACTCTCTTCTAAGAGGAAAAGTGATTTTTCAAAATCTTAATTTAGTCTGAATTATTTTATTTGCTATTCTTCTGAAACATTAATTTTAACAGTGAATGTGCAAGGAAAGAATCCTAAAAATATATTCTTTTTAATTAAGTCTTATATTTTGTGGCCATCCTGTACTTTTCAAATGACCCTAATTACTTTAGGGAGTATGATCTCTAAGTCCTTCTAAGTCTCAGCCTGAAAATTGGAGTTAGGTAATGATGCAAGAAAACACAAATGAAATAAACAGTTTATAATTAAGATATCTAATATCTTACCAATAAGATCAAACGTACTACATTGTTTTCTTTTTTCTAGGACATGATTATTGAATGTTGCTCTGAAATAATAAGTCTGTTTTTGACTGAGGGAGAGACACCGTCACTAACTGAGGTACGTATTTCTTTTAAAACTATGTTTGACTCACAAGTATTGTTTCTATGGAAATGGAAAGCATCTATTATAAAAGTATCAAGGGCCTAACCCTCCTTAATTAATGTGAAAGAATGATAAACATGAATTTATAAGAGCATGTTACTTTGTTTAAAAATCAACTAGTACAGAAAATTATGAAGAGAATGATGTTAAAATCATTTCAAGTCTATCTCAGAGAATAACCACTATTAACATTTTGAAGAATATCTCAAATGTTTTCCATGTATATATAAACTTTAGAATTTTTATGTCAGTGAGATCATACTGTATATGCATCCTGTCGCTTATTTTTTCTTTCAATAATAATGTTATGGGCATGTTTTGTTTTGTTTTGTTTGTGAAAAGCCTGCCTTGTATTTAATGCCCGCATAATAGTCTCTTCCATGTATTTGTTGTGTCAGGCTTTATTTACATAACCAGATTTTATTCATGGATTTTGAGAGTGAGAGATTCTAATATGTCATACATATTTCACTTTTCTGCATTATCTGCTTGAAGTTAATTCTTAGTATAGTAAGATTTTGGAGTTAAAAAGTATATATACATTTTTATTGTGATAAAATATACACCACCTAAAGTTTACAGTTTTAACCATTTCAGAGTGTACACCTCAGTGGCATTAAGCACGTTCACAGTGTTGTGCAGCCATCAGCACCGTCCTTCTTCAGAAAGTTTCATCATCCCCGATAGAGGCTTTGTACCCATTAAATAATAAATCTCTGTTTTTGCCTCCCCCAACTCTTGGTAACTTCTACTTTGGACCTCTGTTCTACTCTTTGCCTATTCTCGATACCTTTTATAAATGGATCATACGATACTGGTCCTTTTGTGGCTGGCTTATTTAATTTAGCATGATGTTTTCAAAGTTCACCCATGTTGTAGCATATATCAGTCCTTTTGTTTCTTTTTAAGGCTGCATGATATTTCATTGTATGAATATACCATATTTGCTTATTCATCCTCTGTGGCTAGACATTTAAATTGTTTCCTCTTTTTGGTTATTGTAAATAATGATTCTATAAACATGAGCATACAAGCAACTGTTTGAATCTCCTCTTTCAATTCTTTCAGGTATATACGTAAGTGAAATTGGTGGATTGTATGGTTATTCTATGTTTAACATTTTGCAGAATCCCCAAACTGCTTACTTCAGAAGCTGAACCATTTTACATTCCCACCAGTAATGCACAAGTGTTCAAGTTTCTCCACATCCTCACCAACATTTGATATTTTTATTTTTTTCTGGGGGAGGGAGTGATTGCCATTGTCAAGAGTATAAAGGGGTATCTTATGATTTTTTTTAAAAAAGATTTTATTTATTTTTAGAGAGAGGGTAAGGTAGGGAGAAAGAGAGGGAGAGAAACATCAGTATGTGAGAGAACCATCCATCAGTTGCCTCTAGCACACTGCCAAATGGGGACCTGGCCCACAACCCGGTCATGTGCCCTGACTGGGAATGGAACCACTGACTTTTTGGTTTGCAGGCCAGCACTCAATCCATTGAGCCCCACCAGCCAGGGCCTCATTGTGATTTTGATTTCAATTTTCCTAATGACTAGTTTAGTTGAACATCTCATGAGTTTATTTGCCATTTGTATATCTTCTTTGGAGAAATGTCTGCTCAGTCCTTTACCTATTTTTGAATTGGCATTTATATTGTGGTGTATAATTGCAAATGGTTCTTCAGAAATGTTGCACCAGTTTTCTTGCCCATCCAAGGTAGATGAGAGGGCCATTTTACCCACATGTTCATCTACCCGTGTTCTTCTACTGGCTCCCCTCCCTCTCTCACTTCCCCTTCTTCTCCCTCTCTTCTTCCACTGCCTCCTCCTCTTCTTCAACCATTGTAGGTATAACAAGTGAAAAATGACATTGTCACTCTTTATATTTTTACTGTTAATAAGGCCAATTGTAGCTCATGTGTTTGTTGGCAATCTGTGATTCTCCTTTTGTGAAATGGTATTCATTCAGTCAATCAACGAATATTTAGAGTGAACTGTCTATGCATCAGGCACTTCTCTCTAGGCCCTGGAGAGTAAGCTCTGAACAAGCAACGAGGACTCTGCTGTCTTGAAGCTATCATTTTTTGTGTGTATGTGAAGAAAATAATAAAACAAATCAATAAGCTAGATAACTTAAGATTTTATTAAGTGCTATGAAGGAAAAAGAGGGTGATATGTTAGAGTACAGTTTGGCAAACTGAGGCCTATGAACTGCATCTGACTCATGGCCTATTGTGTAAATAAAGTTTTATTAGAACACAGCCATGCTCATTCATTTACTTATAGTCTATAGTTACTCTGGAGTTATAAGAGCAGAGTTTATTGACAGAGACCATATGTTCACAAAGCCTGTATTATTTCTTGTCAGGCCCTTTACAAAGCAATTTTGCTGACCTCTGTGATGGAAAGTAACCAGGAGCAGAGTGACAGATTGGATAGGGTCTAAAGACACCCTCTTAGGAGATGATATTTGAAGTGAGACCTGAAATATTACTCTGTGTTCCTTTCACTATATTATTAGTTTCTTGAGGGGCAGGGGCAATGCTATCTTAATCTTTGAATTCTTACAGTGACCTCTATGTTATATTAATTAGTTACTGGCTCTTGAACTGAATTCCCTTTAGTTTTAAACATCTGACATTTAATATTTGCTTTTTTTAAAAAAAAATATTTGGCTATTCATATTCTTTCCCATTTTTTAAATGAGGAACTTAACTTAAGTTTTTAGTATAGAAATACAAAGATAGATTTACTGTGGCAGGCCATTGATAGTAAAATCAAACTTAAGCCTAATTTTATACAAATACAAACTGTAATTAAAAACAGGTTACAGTAAAAGGTCACATGATTTTTAGTGTTAATGGGTTTTGGCTTTTGACAGACCAGGCTTGACATCCCATCCTTGAATCTTGTTAATTGTGTGACCAGAGGCAAGTTTTCTCAAATGGAAAATAGGGTAACAATGCCAACCTTTCAACAGTTGTGAGTACTACAGCAAATAATATATGATGAGTACTTGGCATAGGGCCCAGTACCAATAAATGTTGAGTAAATATTAGCTATTTCACCGTCTTCATTAATGTTATCATCCCTACCATGGACCTGCCTTCCATGTATGAATCCTTCATCCCCTAGTTAACTAATTTTAAACAGACTTTTAGAATCCAAAGTTGTTCTGAAATATTGCTAGACAAGGAGAGGAAAAGTGTTAAAAGTAGAAAGATAATTAGGCCTCGTGTTCTTTGCCTGTAAAGCAAACCATTGTTGAATCCTAGAGGAATTAGGTCAGGGAGCAGGACCCCAGCAGGAGACGTGGCGGTGATGAGTTGCTGGCCCAAGAGAAGCTGCCTCCCAGTTGAACCCCATGCTAATGCTTCCACCTAATAGTGCTGGGAGGGGATGTGGGCATTCGGAGCTCGTTCCAAGAAATAAATGATTAGACAAGATTACATACCTCAGTGTAGCTGTTTTTATCACTGGGATGAGATCTTGCTGTGCAATTTGGCTCTATACTGAACATACCTATTGCAAACGCCTTTGCCTGTTATTGCCTCTTCCTAATTAACATAGATATTGCACACACAGCTTGTGACAAAAAGAAACTGAGACTAGCAAGGAGATGAAGGAAGGGGATAAGTGCTCCATGCTAACCTTCTATAAATGAGTGTTAGGTATAATTTCAGGTGAACCAGTAGTAACGCTTTCCTTTCAGTACCTGCATTGGTTCAAACTATTGCAGTGTCCAAGTTGTCGGGTAGGATTCAAACATGATGCTAAAAATATGCTTTTTGTTTTTGCTGTGACTGATCATGGGAAGGACAGACGATCCATCAGTAATTATTGGCTTCCAGTGGCATGAAGAACATTGGTGTAGATACTGTTCTTGCTTCAAAAGCAGTATAGGTTAAGGTTCCTGCACTTGGCTAATTTTATATTTTCATATTGGTTTACACGATACAAATAAATTTACCTAATCAGTGCATGTGCCCGTGCAGGCATGTGCGTACCGAACTGACTAGAGTCACCCAGAATTATTATGGAGAGAATTCCTAGGGGCAGATCCTGGTTTAAATAGGGAAGATTAATCTAGGCCAAGTGATAAGACACGTTGTTTAAGGAGGTTGCAAGCAGTTTTTCTTGGCTGTCTGAGTTCAGTAGGATATAGATTTTAGTCCAGGATTTTTAGCTAGATTTAGCATAGTATCTGACAATAATGATAATAATCATTAAAATGATCACTATTAATAGTGGTTAACAGTGGTAGTAGTAATAGTATTCATGGTTAATATTTGCTGAGCACATGGCATGTGCAGACACTGTTCAGTGTTTGATTATTTCCTCTAATATTACAAGAATCCTGTGCAGCTGGTTACTACTATTATCCTCATTTTAGAGATGAGGAAACCAATGCACAAGGAAACTAGGCAGCATGCTTAAGGTCTTCCAGCTTATAAGTGGAGGAGGCAGGAGCCAAATACCGTTCTGCTTAAAAATCAAGGCTCTGCATCTTTAACTAAATTACCCACTGCATGTTTTATTAGAACAGTGGGAGCAGGTGCTAGAGGGAGTTGAGGTGTGAGAGGGGAGAAGGTGAGAGTGGGAAAGTGAAAGTTGCAAGTGTAGATGAATCTCTGAGGAGGTCTGGGTAGACACGGGGGCGCGGGAGGGTGTCAGGACAGGAGTGATGGTTAGGGAAAGGAGCTAGGAGGGGTGGAGGCGGCCTGTCGAGAGGAGAGGAGGACAAATGATGGAACACAGCCTTATGGGAGCCGGGAGGGAACAGAACGACACTGGCAACACAAGTGAGGTAGCCGCCTGGAAGTAGAGGAAAGACACCTCTGTCCTCCAGTCTCCAGATAGAAGATTGAGGGAGAGGGGTGGAAGTTTGTAAGGAAAGGGTGGGAAAAGCTGGAGCTGTAAACACCCAGTGGTTCTCGTTTCTCAGTGAAGTGGAGG